TTTCCCTTTCGGGAGTGGGAGCTGCTCTTGAGCACTTCCCTGGGTGGCCCCTCCGGCACCACTCAAGCCCATGACTGTACCATTCAATAGTCAGGAGCCCTCATCTACTTGATGGTCTCAACTAAGCCTAACCTTGCATTCAGTGTGGGAGCAGTCTCAAAGTTCTTGGACAATCTATCACCCTCACATTGGGCCGCTGTGAAGCGGATCATGAGGTATGTGAGTGGCATAAGGAAATTCACACTGAAATATGCAAGAGGAGATGGAGACAACAACCTGGTGGGATTCACAAATGCAGACTGGGTAGGAGATCTAGATGACAGAAAATCCACCTCAGGGTATGTCTTCATGTATAACCATAACATGGTTAGTTGGTGTTCCACGAGGCAATAGATCACTGCAATGTCCTCATGCAAATCTGAATACATCACAGCTATAGCAGTAGCGAAAGAGGCCATCTGGCTTAAGACATTGCTGCAGGACCTTGGGATTCAAATTCCAGCAATCAAACTCTACTGCGACAATATGTTGGCAATAGCGTTGACTCGGGATATGAGATTTCACTGGAGGTTTCATTTCATCTGGGATCAAGTCAACAATAGAACAATCAACCTGCAATTCTGTTCAACCAGCTCAATGGTTGCTGATATCCTAACAAAGTCCTTGCCTTGAGTGAAGCATGAACTCTTCCTCAAATCACTCCATTTGACTGATGATGTAAGCCTTGAGGAGGAGTGTGGAGACAAGTGATGACAAGTCTCCACATCAGCAAAGAAGACAAGTCATTCATCCAAGACACCAACCGCCAAGTGTCACACCCATACTATTATGTACATAACCATACCAAAGCAATGAAGTTGACAGAGCATTCCACACACAAAAACACATATCTACAAATGATTGTAGATGTCTAGATTTTTGTGTGTGGAATGCTCTGTGGACTTGTATGATTATGTATGTAATGGTATGGGTGATGCTTGGCATTTGGTGAACTTAACTTGTTTGTTAACATTGTCACTTGTCTCCACACTCCTCAAGGCTTGCACTGTCAATCAAATAGAGAGATTTAAGGAAGACTTCCTATTTCACTCAAGATAGGGGCTTCAATAGGATATCAGTGACCATTGAGGTGGTTGGGTAAAATTCCAAGTTGATGGTTCTATTGTTGATTTGATCTGAAATGAAGTGGAACCTCTACTCAATGTGCTTAGCGTATGAGTGAAATCTCACTTCCCTAGTCAATGCTATAGCCAACATGTTGTACTGGAATTTGTATCCCAAAATCCTACAACAATGTTTTAAACTATTTCAGTGTGTATTTCCTTGTACCACTCACATATCTCATTCAGCACTAGGGAAAAGTTCACTACATTAGAATTGGAAGAAGCAATATCTTAAATGTGGGAATGAAGTTCTTGATGGTTGAAAGAAACATTTCAATTGACCATAAGTTTTTTGAGAGCAAGATTATAAAAGTAGTATGAGCATAATAACTCATGAAAATGGTCTTCTAGCTCTTGGGATTTAACTTCTGCTAAGTCGCATTTGGATACCACTATTTTATTTATTTTGTTTTACTTACTGTTAAACAATAAAAACACCGGTTTTTAGGGCACCAGTAATTGGCATATATTGTAATTTTGTTATCTTACGAAAATTTTATTAATTTGACTTGAATAAAGTAGCAAAAATTATTACTAATAACTAAAAGCAACTAAAGATCTCGATAAGTTTGAACACTACCTTTATTATTTATAAATAAAAGGTAAATGAACATGATTATATTACATAAAGAGCTTTAAAGGCAAGTTTTCATTAATGTTCAGTTTAACTTATTTAAAGTAGCAAACAATATTATTAGTATAATCCTTTCTCTTGTATTAGATAAACACCTATAAATTTGATTTATAAATAAAATCCCACTCCCAGAGAGAATCTCCATGCTTATGTATTGGATCTCACAGCTTCAGCAATAGTAGGGCTCCTGACCTCACCCCTGAGGTTTTGTCACACCTGTGTGCATAAATTAAGCATGAGGAGATTTCTCCTAGACGAAAATACGAGTCTGCAACATTGTGATTCTTTTTTTTTTCATTTCATGCAAGTACACATCTTGAACCATTAAGATCTATACCCTAATGATGAAGATCAAGAGGAACCAAAGTAAAGTGAATGCATTCATGTAAGCAAATCTATGTATATTGAAAAACACAAATCACTCCTTGCTGGTGGTTGCAAAAACACGCAGCTCAAGCTTCAATTCCAGCCTCAAGAGGCTGGAAAGCTTGGAACTTCTTAGGCTGCACTTTTCCATCAACTGGGAGCGTTTCCATGGGACCGGAGGCACTGGAGCTCTCGCACATGGACTCAGCGGCTCCATCCCAGAAACTTTTGGGGAGATGGCGAACTTGACGCACCTGGACAGGTTTAGCGTAGATATTTCCTCGGTTTGCCACCAAGTTTGCACGGGCTATGCAAACTCTCGGCTCTAAGCGCTGGAAATAGCAAGAGTGGTGTGATCATCCGGAATCCACAGATCTTCCTGAAAAGGGCTCGTTGGCTGTTTGATTCGATGTCTCAGCCCAATTTAATCTCGTCACTGCGCTTGAACTGGAGAAGTGGAGAGAGGGAGATCCTGCTTCGTTTCGATGGTGCTAAAAGCTAGTGGACGCTCTCAGCAAAGCTGGGCGCTTTGATCAAGCCCGAGACAGAGAGCCACAAACAAAGGTTTAGATTTACGGGCTAGCTATGGAGGGCCTATAGACCACGATTAAGTTGGCCATGTTTCAAGCTCTCCCCTTAGGGCATGTGAGTTAGGGTTGATGGAACAGACACGTGTCGCAAGTAGCTAGAGCCACGTGGGCATGGGATAACTCGTCTGGATGCTCCTTGAACTACTTCTCCAAAGATTTTGTCTGAGTCTTGAATGTCACTTCAAACCGGTATCAAGCCAGAGAACCTGCAAGAGTAAATCTCGTCTCCTAGATCTTGGACTCGTCCAGGATTCTGGTTTTTCTCTCCCTTGGTCTTGGCATCGAAGTGTGGAGAAAGACCACCAGTCCAAAAAAATGAGTGGAGACTGCAAGGCCATCGCTCTTTCTAGGTTTAATTTCTTCTTTCCATCTGGAACCACCTTCCGCCTGGACCTCTCGCTACAGAGAATATATAAAGCGAACAAACGAGCAAACAAACTTCCATATATTTGTCAAGCTTCGAGAAATCTCTTGAATCCACTCGGAATCCACGCACATACACTTTTTCGTTTACCTTGCAACAGCTCTTTTGTCGTCAAATTACATGGCTGCAATGTTATGATAGATCCGAGACACAATCTTGTCTTTGCATTTCGTGCAGGTGGATATCTTGGTTGTGTTGTCATCGACATTTTTGTTGCACTCTTGTTTTCCAAAGTCCAAAGTCGCTGGCGGTGGCTGGTTGCAAGAACACGCAGCTCAACCCTCTCAACTTCTCCAGCTCCAAGAGTTTGGAAAGCTTGGACCCTTCTTAGCAGTCCAGAAACTACCTCGCTGCAATCGCTCAACCTGTCACTACTGGGACTGGAGCTCATCGCACAACGGGACGAACTTGACGCTCCTAGACATATCGTTTACCGTTTGGAGCTAGTGTCGTTTCATGAGCTAAACGAAAGAGGAAACAACAGAGATCAAAACGAAGCAAATGAGGAAAAACTAGTCTCCCCAAATCTTTCTCTTGCATGTCCTGAATTTCCTCCATTTCGTCGATCAGTCCATCCATCAGCGTGGTATGAAGACTGACTAGCTGCTGCTGTCCGTATAGGGAGGTTCCACTCTAAGCCGAGTGCTCGATGAAGAAGACCACCACAATGCTGGAGACTGCTAGGGAAAGTCCATGAAGTGCTCAAGAGCCACTGCATGACAAAGCTTTTGGAGCCAGCGCGAATTTGGAATCAGGAGGAATTGTTCCAAGTAAGAAATAAAATGAATAAACGAGCAAGTTAAGTAAAATCTCTATTCCGTCCATCATTCTGATGCGCGATTTTCCATGTCCAAGTACAAACTTTGCTCACGCGGAAGAAGATCTGTCTATATATTTCTCAAGGTTCAAACCAATAGTATCCTTCTCTGTTAAAAAATCTACTCCACGCATATACAAATTTTGTTCTTCTTGCATAAAAAAATCTAACAAGAGTAATTTGGAGGACATCATCTAGTGAGAGAGAATACTAGAAGTTTGGAGGGTTCTAATTCGACCACCTTGTATGTGAATTTGTAGATGAAATACAAAGATGATAGTGATCAAATGGAAAGCTTTGCCACCCTTGAGATCTGCAACATACTATCCATAAGTTATAAAGCTCTTTTTCTTCCATACTGCATGGGCCTGATGGAATCACAGTGGAAAGGTTTCCAAAGTACACAACCACCATTTACAGAAAATTCAAGGTAATGGTTTTCTCTCATAATTTGTTGCAAGCTCAGTATATATAAACTAAATATTCCTTGGTACTAAAATATTATTTGGAAATATTGATTGAACATAATTATATTAAGTTCTTTAAAATTTAGGGTGTAGAGTTTACATTACTTGGGGAATTGACACCTGTGTGCATGAAAATTTCTCCTAGACGAAATTACAAGTCTGCAACATTGTGATAGATTTAATCTTTTCTTTTCATTTCGTTAATGAACCAATTAAGATCTATGGTTTTTCATACCTGGGATTACGATGGTAAGAGGAACCAGGGCAAAGTGAATAATGCATTGCATTCATGTAAGATTGCTTTATATATTAAGAGAAACAAAAATTGCCAGTCGCTTTAAATGAACTAGTTATAAGTAAGTTGGTCATCATCACACACTAGAGATCTCCGGTGTAACCCCGGGCCTGGATCAAAACAATGTTTTGTTTTGTTTGATCCCTCCCAGAGAGTTTCGGGGCGATGGCCAAACGGCTACGCAAGCCCTCGAGTTTGATCAGATTACTGTAAACTCAGAAACAACCATGCCAATGGCCTGGCAATGCAATCGGGCGATGGGTTCTTGGGCCTTGTGAGATCGTGCCGGGATCTCGTGGCCGCGGAGGTGATCCATTCTCGCATTGCGTCACTGCTTCCAATCGCGGACGATGCCTACCTCGCCAACAATCTGATTGAGATGTATGGGAAATGTGGGTCTGTAGATCGTGCGCGCCAGGTCTTCGATGCCATTCGATCCAAGAACTGCTACTCCTGGTCGATCCTACTCTGCGCTTACTCCCACAATGGCTACCTAGCCCAGGCCAAGGAGGTCTTCGATGCGATGCCTTGCAAGCACGATCCCATCTGCTGGAATTCGATGCTGGCGGCCTATGTGCGGAATGGGCATCTGGAGGATGCCAAGCGCTTCTTCCAAATCGCCCCAGTGACAAATCTAATCTCCTGGAACACGCTTCTATCTGCATTTGCCCAGCGTGGAGATCTGTGGGAAGCGACGAGAATCTTTCAGGGAATCCCACTCAGGACGCAAATCTCATGGAATTCCATGCTTGCAGCGCTTGCCCTAAACAATGGCCTCCAAAATACGGTCGATTTCTTCCACCAGATGCCCGAGCACGACATCGTCTCTTTCACAACGCTTCTCGCAGCATATGCCCAAGCCGGACACGTGGAAGGCGCGAAGCGCATATTCGATAAGATGCCCCAACGGAACTACGTGACGTGGAATGCCATGCTGACGGCATATTCCCAGAACGGGCACCTGGAAGATGCTCGGAGATTATTCGATGGTCTTGCAGAGCGCGATCTCTCCTCCTGGAATGCGATGATCACCGCATACGCGGAGGCAGGGCAAGTGGACGAGGCCAAACAGATCTTCCAGGCGATGCCAGTGGTGGATTTGGCGTCCGCCACTGCGATGCTGGTGGCATTCGCGCAGTCCGGCCGGATCGATCGAGCCTGGGCTTTGCTTCTCGAGATGCCGGTCCAAGATCTCAAGTCCTCCACGGCGATGATCGCGGCTCTCGTCCAGGCCGGGCATCTGAACGAGGCGAAGCGCGAGTTCCAACAAATGGAGCAGCGTGATCTCGCTGCTTGGAACACGATGCTCTCGGCAGAATCACAGAGTGGGAATCTGGAAGAGGCGAGGTGCGCGTTTGAGAGTATGCCCGAGCACAGCACGGTCTCCTTCACGACGATTCTCTCGGCATATGCCCAACAGAGGCATCCTGAAGAAGCAGCACGGATCTTTGCACTGATGCCTGGCCGCGACGTTTCTTCTTGGAACGCAATTCTAGCAGCATTTTGCCATGCCCAGGAGCTTTCCAAGGCGGTAGAAACGTTTTTCGAGATGCCCGAGAGGGATCTCGTCTCGTGGACGTCGCTTCTCTCGGCATATGCCCAGAACGGGCACCTGGAAAGGGCTCGCGGGCTGTTTGATTCGATGTCTCAGCCCAATGTAATCTCGTGGAACGCTCTCCTCACTGGCTACGCGTCCAGGGGCCGCTGCTCCAGCGCTTTGGAATTGCTGGCAAGAATGAAGATCGCGGCTGTGTGCCCCGACGAGACGAGCCATTTGCTGCTTCTCACGGCTTGCGCTCGAAGTGGAGAAGTGGAGAGAGGGAGATCCTGCTTCGTTTCGATGGTGATGGATTACGAGCTAAAAGCTAGAAAGGAGCATTACAGCTGCATGGTGGACGCTCTTAGCAGAGCTGGGCGCTTTGATCAAGCCCGAGACTTGATTGCGAGCATGCCGTTTGTTCCGACATCTCTGGACTGGACAAGCCTTCTGACGAGCCCCGAAGAAGGTGGGTGCGTTCGCGTTAAAAAGTTTGGAGAAGTCGAGAAAGGAAGAAAAAACTCAAAACCATGGCACAATTCCATATGTTGATTACGTAAAATCGACACTTGGCCATGAAATTACACAAGCGGTGTGACGGCTGTTTTCTTCTCCTGTCCCGAGTTCTTGTCAATCTTGTCCGGAAGATCAAACTTGGTCTGCCAGCCCGCGATGATCATCTCGTCTGGAGAATCCGTCTTCTTGAAGCTTGGCCTCGTTTCCATGAGCTAAACAAAAGAGAAAAGAACATCTGAGAGATCATGTCGGACGAAAGCGAAGGAAAGCCTGGTGGAAGAAACTTGCCTCGATGTATTTTGCGACATGCTGGAGATTGCTGGGGAAGACGAAGTCTATGAAGTGCTTAAGAGCCACTCTAGCGTGACGAAGCTTTGGAGCCAAAGCAAAGTCGGAATCGGTGGGATTCTTTCCAGCGATGTAAGGGCCCTGAGAAACACAAACACAATTGTAGGAAGAACGTTCATGGAAGAAATCTTAGATGAGGAGAAACTCAAGAAAGCTTACGTGCTTCTTCAAGTGCTCCTCGAGAGCTGTGAGCTCGTTGATAAACTCTTGCTTCGCTGGAGCGTTTCGGTCCTTGGACTTGAGCCAGTTTGTGAACGCTGGAAAGATGCCAGCCCCGCTGGAAAATCCAAAGTCATATCTCAGTCGAGCTTCGGGAAAACACTGAAATCGGACTTACACGCTCTTGAACTCGTCTGGAGTTTTCAGGGACGGCTCCTTGAACTTGTTCTCCACATGCTCAAAGATCTTGTCCGAGTCTTGAATCCAATCAGCAGCGTCACGGAGAACCGGCATCAAGCCAGAGGGATTGTGTTGCATAAACCTGCGAGAAAACAAATCCCTTCTCCTAAGAAAAAATCAATCGATCTCTCGTAACTGACCAGTCAGGCTTGTTGGGTCCTTCCTCGACATAAGTTGCCTTGTAAGGAAGATGTTTCTCTTCGAGAATCACAAACTTGGAATTGGAACCAAAGAAGACAAATCCAAAAGTTTCATACCTTCCAGAACCATGTAAACTCGCTGAGAGAATGGACCTGGAAGACAATACAAATACCATAACATATCAATGGAAGCTCGCCCAGCTACGGAAGATAGAACTCACAATCTCCCCGTTGGTTGCTGGGGCTTCCAGTCCCAGTAGCCGCCTTGCCGAAAACTTCAAGATCCACATCCTGCGAAGCCATAGCCGATACTCTCCTGGCAAATCGTCTCGATCGCGAGAAGGAAGAGCTCCAAGACACTGGAAATCTCGATAGTCTGGAAGACGCGAAACACACACTCTGCAATGGGGCGATAGTGGCAGCCATTTGGAGGTTTTAGGTCACTTACACTTGCAAGCTCGCATGCGCGCCACGTTTCATAGCACGTACATTAATTCAAATTCAAATTATAGGGCTAATAACTTTTATTCGTTGCGTGCTTTCTCGCAGCTTGATTCCTGGCATAATGCATTGCGTTACAGACGATCTCCAGGCCATAAATTCCCATCCTCTCCCTCGCACAGTTCAGGCGATCACTCCCTTCGCATTCGCGTTCTTCCAATCAGTCCGAGAGTTCTAGGCGAATTCCAATTCCATGGCGGCTGCGATGATCAAGCTCGCGATCGTGTGCGCGCTCTTCCTGGCGATCGCTTCCACCGCGGCGGCGGCGACCTGTAGTAACGATTTCACGGCGCTGCTTCCGTGCCAGGCGGCGACCCAGGACGCGCAGGCCACGCCCACGGCGGCGTGCTGCAGTGTGGTGGAGAAATTCAAGGATGATCCGGCGTGCCTGTGCTCCACCATCGCGGCTGCCAAGAGCGCGGGGATCAGCATCAACGAGGCCAATGCCGAGAGCATCCCTACGCGTTGCAAGTTCCAGGGATACCCTAGCTGCGCCAAGAAGATCTGAGGAGCCAAAGGAGAGTGGATTGAGACAAAATAACCCCTCCAAGAATCAATAAAACTCCCGCCTTTTCATTTCAAAATGCTAGGGCTTAGGGTTTATCGGGACAAGAGATATTCTCCCACCATTAGGGTTCCAAACGACTATGGCGGTTTCGACGAGCGCAGCGGTGGACACGAGCGCCTTCAGCAGCGTCCCTACGGGATCCTCCGGCGACAAGGCGGTGGAGGGAGTGCTGGCGTCACAGCAGGGCGCGTCGCAGATCGGCTCGCTCTCGCAGCTCGCCGCCGGCGGCATCGCGGGGGCGGTGAGCAAGACGTGCACAGCTCCCCTCGCGCGCCTCACCATTCTCTTCCAGGTAAGGCGTCTGGGGATTTGTCCCCCTTGATCGATCGATTTCGAGCGCGAGCACGCTGGATTTGGGATTTTTTGTGCTCGCTCCAGATCCGGGGAATGACAACGGACAAGATTTTGACCAAGCCGAGCATCCTCAGAGAGGCTGCGAGGATATTGCGCGAAGAAGGGGGCTTGGCGTTCTGGAAGGGAAATGGTGTCACGATTGTTCATCGCCTTCCATACTCCGCGATTAATTTCTACTCGTATGAGCAGTACAAGGCGGTAAGTAACGCATCGTTTACTTTATTGTCTAAAATCCTTTTCCTTTCCCCCTCCAGGCACTGCTCAAATGGCTTGGGGTAGAAAGCAGTGGAGATGACAACTCCGGAGCTCGATTGCTTGCTCGTTTCGTCGCCGGTGGTGGAGCTGGAATCACTGCTGCTGCGACAACGTACCCTTTGGATCTCGTTCGAACGAGACTAGCAGCACAGGTGAGTAGAGCTTGACCGTAGAGAAAGAGATGATGCGAGGGGTAGTTTTTCCTTTCTAGGCACTTCCTGAGAAGCTCTTAGCTGAAGTATGGCTTTGACAGAGAGTTTCTTGGGACTTATTTTGCGCCTCGCAGGTGAAATGACCCCTGTGATTTGCAGACAACCTCAAAGCACTACACGGGCATCTACCACGCGATTTCCACAATCCATCAACAGGAGAGCTTTCTTGGCCTTTATAAGGGACTCTGGCCGACGCTTTTGGTACGTTCTTCGAGAGCTTAATTGGTTTTTCTCCCTGCAAAACGCCAGAGACTTGACTCCTGCCAGTCCGTAGGCCCAACGATTGCGATAAACTTCTGCGTGTATGAAACTCTCTACAACTACTGGAACGCTCAGAGGTGGATTTTTTCTTAGTTTCAAGTCCTTGAACTAGAGTGTGAGCATGTTTACTTCCAGGCCCGAGTCGTCCAGGATGGTGACGAGCTTGATCTCCGGTGGAGTAGCAGGAATTGCTGCCTCAACAGGTAAGAGTCTTAAGATCGATTACGTTTGATCGCCATCGTTCCTGTTTTCAGCGGTGTTTCCGATCGATTTGGTAAAGAGAAGGATGCAACTCGAGGGCGATCGGAGATGGACACCGGCTTACAAGCCTGGGATTGTGAGCGCGCTGAGGCACATTGTTCGCACCCAAGGCTACGCTGGGTTGTACAGGGGGATTTTGCCCGAGTACCTCAAGGTTTTTCCGGGCGTGGGGATTGCCTTCATGGTGTATGAAGTGATGAAGAACATTAGCGTCGCGAGGGAGAAGAGGTGAATGTAAATGGCCCGATTCATTTTCAACCGTCAGATATAGCAAATATTTAGGGTTCTTGCGATGGATGCTTGTTCCGTGGCTTGGCGACGGCAACGATTCGACGCGCCGCGCCAGCATTCGCTCCTTCGGCGGCGCCGCTGCGGGCGCCCGGGTGCCGGCGCTATGGACACGTTATGTCCTGGAACGTTTTGATGCTGGGCTAGATGTGTCTCTGGATCTCTTTGAGAGGATGGAAGCCAGGCGGTCGGGCTAGCTTCATGGCCGCGTCGAAGGCTGCGGCGAAGGAAGATGCTGTTTTGGTCGATGGGAAGCTTGTCAAGGAGGCTACTCTCGAGACCCGCAGAGGGATCCATTCTCAAGCCAAGCAAATGTCTTGCAGCGAAGACGTTTTCCTCTCGAGCTCGCTGATCAATATGTACTCCAAGTGTGGCAGCATGCTCGATGCTCAATCGGTCTTCGATGAGATGCCACGGCGAGAGTCTCCTGGAACGCTTTGACACTGGGCTACGTAGAGAATGGAGAAAGCGAGATCGCTCTCGAGTTCTTTGGGAAGATGGACTGTTCGCCAAACTCTCGGACTTTCGTTGCTGCTGCCAAGGCCTGTGAGAATCTAGCAGTGGTGCGAATCTAGCAGTGAAAACTCAAGAAGATGGAAAGATGGTGAAGACGAGGAGCCTCGAGAAGGGAGTCGCTGTTCACGATGGAGCTGTGAAAAGCCACTGCTGTGGAGATATTTCTGTGGGGAGCAGCCTCGTGGACATGTACTTAAGTGTTGGTCGAGAGCATGATGTCGTGCTCTGGACGAGCTTGATACGAGCCCCCTCTCTTGTTCTTCGAAGATATGAAGCTATCCGGGTGCTGTCCGAACTCTCGAACGTATGTTGCTGACGCTTGCCGCCTGTGCGAGCTCGGCAATGCGAGAAGAAGCGGTGGATGTCGACGGGAAAGTCGTCAAGAGAAAGAGCTTGGAAACTGGGGTGAAGCTTAAAACATCAGGAGCTGCGAGGACGTGTTCTGATCGATAATGTATGCAAAGTGTGGGAAGCTAGAGGAAGCGCGCAAGGTCTTCGATGGCATGGCTGGCCGAGACGTGGTTTCGTGGAACGCAATGCTCCAGGGATCTGCTGGAAATGACAGCTTGGAGCTGGCTAGGGAGAACGATCCGGACGAGAGAACGTTTGTTGCTGCGCTCATGGCCTGCGTCCACCTTTCAGCATCCGAGCAACCTGTCCCGCGAGAAGATTGAAACCTAGTGTGAATCCAGAGCCTAGAAAAGGGGATGGAGATTCATTCTCTCACCGCGAAGTTTGGATGCTGCGAGCACAGATTTGTCGGGAGCAGCTTGGTGGACATGTATGCCAAGTGTGGAGATATGGTGGAAGCTCGAGCAGTTTTCAAAGGCATGCGTAGCCGGGACGTTGTCGTTTGGACGAGCTTGATGTGAGAGTGAGCTCGGGCTGGAACTCTTGGAGAGCATGGACTGTGCTCCAAACACTCGGACTCTTGTAGCGGGACTTACGGCCTGTGGGAACGTTGGGTCCAGGAAAATCCAGGCTGAGCTTTACAGGCGTGGGCTGGAAGACAACCAAGTTGTGGGGACGTGCATGGTAAACTTCTACGGTTAGTGCGGAGGCGGCCGAGCAGTTGTTTGGATCTCTGGCAGTCCGAGATATCGTCGCCTGGAATGCACTGATCACAGGAATCGGCCAACAGGGCGACGCGTCGCTCGTGTTCGAAGCCTTTCGCGAGATGCGAGAAGATGGCGTGGGAGCAAACGCGATCACGTTTGTCTCGGTCATCACTGCTTGCAGCCACGGCGGCCTGGTTGAACGAGGCAGGGAGTTATCCAGGCAATAGATTGTTTGCAGAATTCATCACTACAGCAGCTTGGTGGATCTCTTCGGGCTTGCAAACCGACTGGAAGTGGCCGTGAAAGTCCTCGAGACCATGCCTTTGAGAGCGGACGCTATGGTTTGGAGGAGCGTCGTCGGGGCCTGCCGTAAGTGGAAGAACGTGGAAATGGGGAGGATTGCGTTCGAGGCACTGACGAAGATCAACGAGAAAGACTCTGGCTGCGTACGTTCTGATGGCGAGCATCTATCGGAGCGCGGGGCTCAAGATTATACAGGGTTGCTGCAAAGTACATAGGAAAGTCCAGAAGAGCGCGTAGAAGAAGGCTGCCACGAAGATGGCGACGCTGACAAGTGTTGTCACACCTCCTTGGTCCTGTTCGCTACCACCTTGTCCGTCTCTTCTAGGCCTATGCGGCGGAGCAGTGCTCGAACAGGTGTTGATCAGTGGCAAGCCACAGAGCTGGTTTCCCGCGAAGAGAGCCGCGTCCATGGACGAGAGTTGCGGGCTGTCAGGTATCCGTCCCACCAGGCTGTTGTTGGAGACGTCGAAGACGGTGAGAAACGAGAGGTCCGCCACGGACGTTGGTATGGAGCCATTGAGACGATTGCTCGCGAGCGCCACCCTGGAGAGATTCCTTGCGTTTCCCAGGGACTCGGGAATGGGACCGATTAGCCGGTTGTGGCTCAGGTCCAGCACCTGGAGATTGTAGAGGTCGCCGATGGCCGCCGGAATGCTTCCACTCAGCTGGTTGGAGGAGAAGTCTATGGTTGTCGGGAAGGCGAAGCCGGTGTAGACGAGGCTTTGCGCGTGAACCAGCGGGGTGGTGGTGCTCATGTTGTAGAGCTGGACGTTGGCGAACAGTCGGCCGATGCTTGCCGGTATCTTGCCCGAGAACCTGTTAAGCGAGAAGTCCATGGCTCGTAAGTTCCTGAGCCGGGGGAGCCAGTCCGGGATGGAGCCGCTGAAGCTGTTGTCTGAGAGGAAGAGGAACTGCAAAGTCGAGACGTTTTGCAGCATGGCCGGAACTTCTCCAGAGAGGTTGTTCGATCCAACGTCGAGGCCGATCAGCGAGCTCATCTTGCCGTAGGAGGCCGGGATGGAACCGACGAGATCATTGCCGGAGAGCGAGAGAATGAGCAGGCGGCTCAAGCTCGCAAAGCTGTCCGGGAGATTTCCAGAAAACTTGTTCTGCTCCAGCCAGAGAACGACCAGCTCCGTGCAGTTGGAGAGTCCAGAAGGGAGCTCCCCACCGATGTCGTTGCCGTTGAGAACTAGCTGCTGGAGATGCGACAGCTTCGAGAGCTCGCCTGGGATGGTTCCAGTCAAGTCATTGCCGTTGAGCCATATCTCTCTGATGTTCGAGCAGTTTCCTAGCTCCGGAGGTATAGTGCCACTGAAACGATTCCACATGAGAACCAGCACCCTCAAGTTCGTCAAGCTTCCCACCCTCGCTGGTACCGTCCCGTTAAACATGTTTCGCAAGAGGTGCAAAGTCTCGATGCTCGCAAAGTCGCCATCTTCCAGCTCCAGTGGCCCGGAGAGAAAGTTGTTTCCAGCGCTTAAAACCGAGAGCTTGCGTAGCCTTCGCAAGCTCGGTGGCAAACCACCCTGGAGCGAATTGTTGGAGATATCCAAGTACCTGAGCTCCAAGTTCTTGCTCCAAATATCTGGAAGATCTCCTCTAAACCTGTTAAACGATATGTCCAGGCGCGTCAAGTTCGTCATCTCCCCGAAAGTTTCTGGAATGGAGCCGCTGAGTCCGTTGTGCGAGAGCTCCAGTGCCTCCAGTCCCAGGTTGCCACCGATGGAAACGCTCCCATTCAAGTTGTTGATGGACAGGTTGAGCGATCGCAGCGTGGAGCTAAACTTTGGAACACCGAGCACTGTTAAGAAATTCGCACTGAGGTCCAGGCTTTCTAAGCTCTCGAGGCTGGAGAGGTTTGCCGGGACCTCTTGCAGAGAATTGGAGCTCAAGTTGAGGAGCTTGAGCTGCGTGTTCTTGCAACCAGGGACTTCCAGCGAGGAGAGGCCGTTTTGCGAGAGGTCCAAGCGAGCCAGCGATGGAAGCTCGGCCCAGATGGAAGGAAGAACTCCCGAGAGATTTAACCTGGACATATTGAGGCCCTCCACTCGGTTGTCCGAGCTCCACTCCACACCGCGCCATGCTCTTGGATTGGCGGTCTCGTTCCACGCTTTGATGCCAAGCCTGTCACGGAGAGAGAGAAGAACCTGTGTGTCGTTCACGATTGTGGATGGATTCGTGGGGCACTGTGACCGGGATGTTGTGAGAAAGACGAGTAGAAACAAAGGCAGCAGCAAATCCGCGAGAGACATGGCCGATACTCTTTAATCAAACCGATGGATCAGAACATCAAAGAGTGGAAGAGTTTTCGCCAGAGTTTACACGATATGTGTTGGGATAGAATGTGGACTTGGACAATTCGACTTGGTGGACTGTACCGATTGACCTTGAAAAAAACAAACTCGAATCCTAGACGCATTTTGTGGTAAATCCGGGCATCTTCTTGAGGCGAGGTGGGCGTTCGAGAGCATGGCCGAGAGGGATATCGTGGCGTGGACCGCGATGCTCGTCGCGTATGCCCAGGCAGGGGATCTGGCCGCGGCGGAGTTCAGGAACGTCGTGTCGATGCTCCAGCGTAGTCTTCCGATTGAATCGCAAGCAACAATGCAGTCAGCTTGGATCAAACGATCACGCTCCCCCAGTTTGTGGCTCCAGCAAATTGAAATCATGCCGGATGTCCGAGTGCCACCAAGAGATCCAGCATCCGGCATCCAAACGTCTTCTCTGGAACATCACACAACGGCACAACAAGATGGCGGAGCGAGACGAGATGTCGTGGACGGGACGGTGGTCGCATCGATCACGCGCTTTGCACAATCCATCGACAGGAGAGCTTTCTTGGCCTTTCCTTTATAAGGGACTCTGGCTGACGCTTTTGGTACGTTCTTCCAGAGCTTTTTGGTGTTTCTCCCTATTTCTGCCCAATTGACAATGTTCACTTTACTCTGGTCCGTCTTGATCTTCATCTTCATTCTGACCACACCATCTTAATGCCACAGATCGTACATGCACGATATTTTACTTAGTCACTAAAATAATAATGCCAATATAACCTTTAAAGAGCACAAAATAAATAATATTTAATCCAAAATAGGTGTTTATCTGTCTAATCTAGTCGACCAGTTTTGACTGATGTTTAAGGAAAACCAAGTCAACGGTAGATGACTTTGAAGCGCGTTGAACCATCAAAGCTGGAAGAAAGACGAAATAACTATCTGACTTCAATCGTCCAGCGTAGTCTTCCAAGTCAAGCCAGTTGGAGTGAATCGCACGCAACAATGCATCGTGGCGCCATTCAACTTGGATCAAGCTATCACGTCCCACCCACCAGCGACCCCCGACGAGCTTGTGGTTCCAGCAGATTCAAGCGGCAGCCAAGCGCCTGAAATCAAGCCCACCAAGGGCTGAGATCAAGCGCACCCAGAATCCGGCAGCTAAACGTCTCTCCTGGAACATCACAATGGCACAACAAGAGCGAGACGTGGTGTCGTGGACGGGGATGTTGGCCGCCTAAGCCGCCATCTACCACTTGCCTCTACAATCCATCAACAGGATAGCTTTTACAAGGGACTCTGGTAGACGCTTTTGTTTCTCTCATAGACTTGACTCCTGCCAGTCCGTAGGAACTTCTACAACTAGAGAAGTTGGTTTTCTCTTAAGTCCTTGGACTAAAGCGCGTGTTTACTTTCAGGCCCGCGTCGTTGAAGATGGTGACGAGCTTGATCTCCGGAGTAGCATGAATTGCTGCCGATCGATTGCATTTGATCCCATCTTTCAGATGCAACGCGAGGAGATGGACGCCGCTTTACAAGCCCGGGATTGCAAGCGCGCAGAGGCACGTTGTTCGCACCCAAGGCTGCGGTGGATTGTACAGGGAAATTTTTCCGGGCGGCCTTCGAAGTCATTCATTTCAACCGTCAGATATTCTTGTCTTGCAGCGATTCGATATGCCGCCTCAGCATTCCAGCGCCGCCGCGTGCAGAGAGCTGCGAAGAAGGCACGAACACAACGTCTGCGAGCCGGGAATCCCACACTCGAACGAAGTTTTCGTTCTTTTTCGTGGAGGAGTTGTCGAACTCGGCAGCAGTAGCTCTCAAGGAGGCCGTGGTGGAATTCGCAAGGAAGTTAAATGTGAACTCTGGAGAAGCTGGGATGATATGGCTTTGGTGATCGAGCAGCTCCTCGGTGTCCAAGATCTCGAGAAGAGGAGAGCAGCAGAATTCTGGCGCTCAAGAACTGAGTGAGAAAATCTGGCAGCCTCTTTACCTAGACACTATGCAATTTAAGAAAATTCTTTTAAGAACAGACATAACTTTTGGAAAGGGTATTTGCCATTACCTTTTCTTCTTTGACAACAGTTTCTTTTCTTGGGTATTTTCTAATGTCACCTAAAGCTTGTGAGCGTAAACTGATCTCAAACGAGCGAACGCCATAACAAATCCACTACATCCTTGGCTTCAATCTTCTTAGACCAATCTTTCTTGTACAATTTCTTCATTTTATCTATCACCTTTGCCTCATCCTCCTAAATCATAATTTCTATAACCACTTGAAAGGCTTCTTAACCACATGTCCACACCTTTTCCAAACTTCTGTGGAGATAGCTTCAGGAGCCCTGAATCCTAGTGATCCAATTTAGTGTTGGTAGAGTTGACTCGGGCAGGATCACAACTTCTCGCTTGCAAGCCTGCTAAACCCATTAGAAGCTACCACATGGTTTCCTTAATCCAGCCCACCTTAGAGAGCTTGTAACGTAGTCGCCCATCCTTATTGAATTCTAATATGCCAAAAGTGCTCGAGAACCATGTCACCTCCATCTTCTTCCTTGCCCATGTCAAGAACTTTCACGACGTTCTCGTGCTTGCACTCCCTCATGAGCTCAACCTCTCAGAGTCGTAAAATTTATTGTCCACTCTCTTGATTACCTTCTTGATTGTAGGCCACTCTCAACACACAACACAGTTTGCCAACTCCATAACACTACAAGAAAAAGTTTGGTTTAGCATCCCAAGGACTCTCCACTCACATAAAATGTGGGTCCCGATTATGGTGAAGGCACTTCGCGAGCAGTCACAAATCCTATCGCTCTTCCCACTTCGTTGGAGAAGTAATCGTCTGTGTCTGTGAGTTTCACATTGATAACAGCTGCGTATCCATTGTAGCATGGGGCTTGATCGATTGGAGACATTTGAGCTTGTTGCCATGGCAATGACGAGAGTTGATGTTTCGGAACAAATGAAGCGAGCATTTGGGCGAGCATTTCTCGATCAATTCTTCTCGTTCGTCCTCGTTGTTGACCCTCAAATATGCAAGTTTGGAGTGATGATAATAAGCACAAAGCGCATGTGAAGTGCAAGAAAGAAGCTGAGATTTACCTTTCCTGAAAAGCAGCATGGCTCAGATGTCAAGGCGTATTTTTGCCCCTCCCGCTCCAGAGTCTTGTAGGCTGAGTCTGGATTCCTTGAACTGCAATGCTCTTCAGTTCTAGAACATTTGTGATGAAGCTTTTGATGGATTTCAAGGCTGCAAGACTCACCGGAGGAAGGAAACCAGTGATAAAAGATTGTAGTTGGCTGTGTGCTCATGTCGCTCCAAGCATGCAAACACAGCGAAGAGAGTTTCAAGCTTCTGACACTCTTGAGCAAAACAAGAGAATCCAAAGAAGCGAGTTTGAGAGCAATTTGTACATTACCAAAATTCTTAAAGGATTGATAGTTATGGACTTATAGAACCACCAGACTGGTTCGAGCTTCTTGACAATCTAACTATACATTTCCCATAAATCTCAATCAGACTGTTGGCAAGGTAAACATCCTCCGCGATTGGATCCAGCGACGCAATGATCGCCTCCGCCGTAGCGAAATCGCGGCACGATCTCACAAGACCCAAGAGCCCATTGCTCGATTGCATCGCCCGGCCACCATTGGCACGTTTGTTGTAAGCTTTCCTTTCTCGAGTAAAAGTTTACACTATACCGTGGTTGTGAGCTCAACCACGCAAGGATCATCGACTGGAGCGCTGCTGCTACTGCTGGTGCTGCTGCTCCTCCCATCTCGATCCCTCTCGAGCAGCGGCGTCGGCGATCCACCACCACCACCACCACCAAGAACCACGCGCTTCTCTAGCCGCTCCAACAAGCTCGCCACCTCCTGCATGCTAGGACGCTTCGATGGAGCGTCTCTACAGCACCAGCAAGCGATCCTCATCATCTCCACCATCTGATCAAACTCCGCGCCATGCTCACACCGCTCCCGCAAGCACTCGTCCAGCGCCATCCTCTTCTCCTCCCCACTCCTCAACCCCAAGACCCACGCCACCAGCCCGGTGTTCTTCCGGAAGAATTGGTCCGTCGGCCTCTTCGCCGTGAGCATCTCCAGGCACACCACCCCAAAGCTGTACACGTCCCCCTTGGGCGTCGCGAAGCACTTGTGGCTGTACTCCGGTGGGATGTAGCCGATGGTTCCCGCCACGTCCGTGCTTACATGCGTCTCTCCAGCGTTCACCAGCCTCGCCAGCCCGAAGTCCGCGACGTGAGCCTCAAACTCTTCGTCCAGGAGTATGTTGCTCACTTTGATATCCCGGTGGATGATCGCGTGCCGCTGCTCGCAACCTTGATGCAAGTACGCGATCCCCTGCGCCGCGCCGCGGGCGATCCTCAGCCTCGTCGGCCAGTCGAGCGGCTTCATCCCGGGCTCGCGGCAGTAGAGCCAAGTGTCGACGCTGCCGTTCTTGAGGTACTTGTAGATGAGGAGGCGATCGTTGTTGTCGGAGCAGTAGCCCAGCAGCGGCACCAGGTTCTTGTGCTTGAGCTCGCCCAGCGTCTGGAGCTCGGCGCGGAACTCGCGGTCCCCCTGGAGGCCGCACGACGAGAGCTTCTTCACGGCCACCACCTGGCCGTTTTCCAGCACTGCGCGGTACACGACGCCGAAGCCGCCGTCCCCGACGACGTTGTCCCCGCTGAAGTTGTCTGTGGCGGCCGCCAGCTTGCGCGCGGAGATCTGCTCGGGGAGCTTCTCGCAGAAGGCGAGCGAGAAGCTGGCGTTGTCCCGGTCGGTGTTGGAGTACAGCTTGTGCCGCCGACGAGCGAGCGCGAAGTACATGGCCAGGAAGACGCAGAAGAAGGCCGCCGCAAAGATGGCGATGACGATCGGTATGAGCGTCTTTCTCCTCGTCGCCTCTTGAGATTCTAGCTCGCCACCTCTGGACTGGATTCCACCCGGCGGCGCAGCACTGCTCGAGCAGTTTGCCACAGGCGCGCCACAGAGATGGTTTCCCGCGAAGAGAGCCACGTCCATGGACGAGAGTTGCGGGCTGTAAGGTATCCGTCCCACCAGGCTGTTGTTGGAGACGTCGAAGACGGTGAGAAACGAGAGGTCCGCCACGGACGATGGTATGGAGCCATTGAGACGATTGCTCGCGAGCGTCACCCTGGAGAGGTTCTTCGCGTTTCCCAGGGAATCGGGAATGGGACCGGTTAGCTGGTTGTGGCTCAAGTCCAGCACCTGGAGGTTGTGGAGGTCGCCGATGGTCGCTGGAATGCTTCCACTCAGCTGGTTGGAGGAGAAGTCTATGGTTGTCGGGAAGGCGAAGCCACTGTAGACGAGGCTTTGCGCGTGAACCAGCGGGGTGGTGTTGGTCATGTTGTAGAGCTGGACGTTGGCGAACAGTCGGCCGATGCTTGCCGGTATCTCGCCTGAGAACCTGTTAAGCGAGAAGTCCATGGCTCGTAAGTTCCTGAGTCGGGGAAGCCAGTCCGGGATGGAGCCGCTGAAGCTGTTGTTTGAGAGGAAGAGGAACTGCAAAGTCGAGACGTTTTGCAGCATGGCCGGGACTTCTCCAGAGAGGCTGTTCGATCCAACGTCGAGGCCGATCAGCGAGCTCATCTTGCCGTAGGAGGCCGGGATGGAACCGACGAGATCATTGCCGGAGAGCGAGAGAATGAGCAGGCGGCTCAAGTTCGCGAAGCTGTCCGGGAGATTTCCAGAAAACTTGTTCTGCTCCAGCCAGAGAACGACCAGCTCCGTGCAGTTGGAGAGTCCGGAAGGGAGCTCTCCACCGATGTCGTTGCCATTGAGAACTAGCTGCTGGAGATGCGACAGCTTCGAGAGCTCGCCTGGGATGGTTCCAGTCAAGTCATTGCCGTTGAGCCATATCTCTCTGATGTTCGAGCAGTTTCCTAGCTCCGGAGGTATAGCGCCACTGAAACGATTCTGCGTGAGAACCAGCATCCTCAAGTTCGTCAAGCTTCCCACCCTCGCTGGTACCGTCCCGTTAAACAAGTTTTGGAAGAGGTGCAAAGTCTCGATGCTCGCAAAGTCGCCATCTTCCAGCTCCAGTGGCCCGGAGAGAAAGTTGGATCTAGCGCTTAAAACCGAGAGCTTGCGTAGCCTTCGCAAGCTCGGTGGCAAACCGCCCTGGAGCGAATTGTTGGAGATATCCAAGTACCTGAGCTCCAAGTTCTTGCTCCAGATATCGGGTAGATCTCCGGTAAACCTGTTATACGATATGTCCAGGCGCGTCAAGTTCGTCATCTCCCCGAAAGTCTCTGGAATGGAGCCGCTGAATCCGTTGTGCGAGAGCTCCAGTGCCTCCAGTCCCAGGTTACCACCGATGGAGACGCTCCCAGTCAAGTTGTTGATGGACAGGTTGAGCGATCGCAGCGTGGAGCTAAACTTTGGAACTCCAGCCACTCCCAAGAAGTTCCCACTGAGGTCCAAGCTTTCCAAGCTCTCGAGGCTGGAGAGGTTTGCCGGGACCTCTTGCAGAGAATTGGAGCTCAAGTTGAGGAGCTTGAGCTGCGTGTTCTTGCAACCAGCCACCTCCAGCGAGAAGATGTTGTTTTGCGAGAGGTCCAAGCGAGCCAGCGATGGAAGCTCGGCCCAGATGGAAGGAAGAACTCCCGAGAGATTTAACCTGGACATATTGAGGCCCTCCACTCGGTTGTCCGAGCTCCACTCCACACCGCGCCATGCTCTTGGATTGGCGGTCTCGTTCCACGCTTTGATGCCAAGCCTGTCACCGAGAGAGAGCAGAGTCTGTGTGTCGTTGGCGATCCCGGATGGATTCGTGGGGCACTGCGACCGAGATGTTGCGAGAAAGACGAGTAGAAACAAACCCAGCAGCAAATTGGAGAGAGACATGGCCGCTACTTCTTCTTCTTAGCATCATCAAAGGAATCGCTGGATCACTGGCCTTAGAACGAAATACCCATCTCAGAGAAGAGAAGAGAGATCACCTACTGGAATGCTTACCGCGAGCACGCTCTGGCGATGCCGGAGGCGATCAACCGGGAAGAGAAGAAGCGCATGATCTAGGAGCTCACTCGCAATATGAACACGCTTCCGCGGCCCCTGTTCCGTCGATCGCTGGCCTCGCAGGAATAGTTACTCTGGAAGACTGAGAATTATAAAAGAGAGGAAGAGAGAGAGAGAGAGAGAGAGAGGTGTGGAAGAGCGCAAGTCGTCGGTGCCCGTCACGCTGCCCGTCACTAGCCCTTCACCCGTGCGATCCGGGCCCTAGATCGCTGGTGGAAGAAGGATCATCCTCTCTCTCTCACACGGAAGCGAATGGATCATCGATCGAGAGGAAAGTAAAAGGGGAGACAAAGAGGAAGAAGGAGAGAAGGAATGGATTGAGTGGACGCTCCAAAAATTCAGACTCCACTAGCATAAAGAGGAGGGAGCGGAGACAATCGATCCGGTCATACACCACTTTGTTGTCCAAAAGCGAATCATTACCACGGAATCCCTGGCCGCATTGTCGCCAATTGCGCTGCCTTGTTCCTTCGCGGCTGCCCTAATTCTCGACTACACCCACCATTCAATCCATCGCCGCTCCACATCCAACGGCCATTGTAGCCCCATTTGGACGCGATCCAACGGCTGAAATTTAAACCAAGACCATGGAATCGTGGTTATGGGTTTTACTTCTTAAGATCGATCAGTCACCAGTCCAATCTAGCTCCAAAAAATCTCGAGAGTGGCGGGGCGATAGACCGATCGATGGAATAGCTAGTCATGGTCGTGGTCGTCGCTTTTGTCTGGAAGCGCTTAAACAATGAAAGCGATGAGTGAGAGATAAGTAAGAGACACTTGCTTGCCGGGACTGGAAGCTTCGAACAAGTTCGTTGTCTCGGTCCCCGGTTCTCTCTCGTCGCGATTTGCTTCTCAATCGCCGGGGATCAAAGCAGGAATCCAGCCAGCGATGCTCTTCGATCTACTGCTATGGCGATGGCGAATGCGTCACCTGAAAGTACAATAGTGGTGAACAGTGCGAGAAGCGTTGTAGTTTATACTTTTCTTGGCTGGCCCCGGAGGAGCTGTGCGGGGCATTTGTTTTCCGGAACAGGCGTCTTTGTCAAACCAACCTGGAAGGAGGCTTTGTCAAACTCAAACGTTGAATAGAACCAAAGAGAAATAGTTTTCTATCTCTTTTACCAATGTTTGCGTGCGTGTGCGAGTCGTGTGTCCTGTTGCGAGTGTTCTAGACTGACTTTGCCACTGTTTGCCCCCACTCGGATTGCGGTGTCAGGCCCCTTCCAAACGCTGCAAGCAAAAGCGCCTCGGCTCGGCCTGTGCACGAGTCAAAAACTGTAAGCCAAGCCGTACTTTCGCGGGAACAAACCATGGTCTTTTTTCCTCGTGAGTTGTGAGGCGATGGCTGGGAAACAGCTCGACGCAACTAGGCGGCTCTCGTCCTGGCGTGTGGCAAAAGTTTTTCCAAGTCGGAAATGGGAAGAGAGATCCTTCTTCCACAAAACAAAGGCTCTAGAGTACCTTGCTGGAGGAGAGGCCCATGGCAGTTTTCCAGGCTCTGGGAGACACGGGCACCACAGAGATGCCAGACGCAAGTAAAGTACCGGTCCACATTCCAAAGCCAAAGCCGGAACTCCACCATGACTGAAAGAGCTTTCGTGAGCATAGAACAAAAGAAGAAGTGGTGCGATCTTCTTACCTGTTTTCCATCCGTGCTATGTGGCAACGAATTCTCGACGTAAGCCACCGAGCCTAGAACACCCAACGCAATAGTTCATGAGAAACTTTCACGAAAAGCCCATCGTTTCTACCGTGAGGAGCGTTGATCGTCTTCAAGAGGTTGACAATGGCTTTGGCGTCTGGACGAAGCCGCATAGTTCCTCCAATGGCGACTTTGAGCGTTGGAACATCAAACACCTTCACTGCGCCAGTAGCCATTAGAAGGAAGGCACAAGGAAAGGATCATACCTCGGGTATGAATCGATCATCTTCCAAACGTAGAACAGCCAATGCGCCTTTGAAATCCGGGTCGATGCCAATCACAAGCGCATTATCCACTGGGACCGATGACGCCGAGATCGCCAAAACCTCTGCGTCACACTCGGCATCGACATCCCCCTCGTCCCCAAGCGGTAATGTCAGGGAATCCAGCCAGTTCTTCCTGGAAATCTCGGCTATGACCTTCTTGCTCGGCTTCTTCGTCCTCGTAGCCACGGGCGCCTTCTTCTTGAGGGGAGATTTCGTGGAGCAATCGACATTACCCGAGCTTTGCGAGCTCGCCGCGGTGGCTGCGAGCCGGACAAACCCTAATCCCTTGCCGCATTGCCCACACCACAGCCTTGCCACTGCTCGCATCATAAGCCCTAAACCCTATGGGGGAATGCGAGCTTCTTCCAGGCGGATCACTGGCGCTCGCTCCTTCACAGCGTCTTTTTCTCCAGGCGATCGTCAGGTATGCCAGCGGCATTTGTGATTTCTCATCAGATTAGATCTCCAGTGCCCGGAATGGAAGGATTTCCTGGCGTGGCTCAATAAGCGAGGTGGATTAGGCAAGAACACCGCGGTGACAATTGGAATGTCACAGTATGGAAGGTTAGCACTGATCATTTTTTTTTTCTTTCTTTCTAAGATCGTTCTTTGGATACCAAGGGCATTGTTTGCCACTCGTAGAGTTCCTGCTGGATCACGTTTTCTCGAAATACCCCGCATTGCCGTGAGTATCTTGGTCTCTTATTTTTTTTCTTCTCTCTTCTTTGTAACAAGCTTGTAGATGTCACTGTAGATTATCACTCCAGAGAACGTACCCTCGCAAGTGAGCCACCTTCTGAGCACAAGCAACCCAAAGACTCGGCTGTCTCTTTTCCTTCTATCCGAAAAACACAAAGCTCAGGTACCTTCTCTTGCTTTTTATCATGAATAGCATTGGTTCTGTCCAATCAGGAATCGCAGTGGGCTCCTTATCTTCGATGCTTGCCTCAACTTGGTGATATCGAAAGCACGGTAAGGTGGATTCCTCCACTCCATCTTTATACCTTGTAAATTATTTTGCTTACGTGTGTGTAGATGTTTTGGAAGGATGAGGAGCTAGCCTGGCTCAAGCACAGTCCAACTTATCGCGAGACGATGGAGTGCTTGAAAATCATCAAGTCGGAATTTCACGTCCTTGAAGCAAACGTCATTGCTTCTTTTTATTTCTCGGCAGCTACTGACACTGGCCAATAAACAGGTATTCCCATGGTGTCGTGATGTGCTTGGCGAGGTCTCGCTCACAGACTTCATGCACGCTTACTCAACTGGTATGGAGAAAAATGAGAATTCAATGCCAAAGGAATTGATGGCAGCAATGTAGTTTCTTCACGTTCCTGGGAAAGCCGAGAAGGAGACTTGACAATGTCAATGGTAGGCAGTAACGGCAATTGCTTTGGCTCAACCTGGTAGACCAGATTCCATTCGCGGATTTTTTCAACCACGATCATAATTGTCAAACACGGCTCTCCTACGACAAGGAAAAGGATTGTGCGGTGGTAAGCTTATCTGCAAGCGCATTGTTTGCTAGCTAAGATCTTTCTCTCTTTTTATTCTTCTTTTTCGTTCCATCGGCAGGCAGTAGCAGATCAAGACTACAAAGCTGGTGATGAAGTAAAGTTTATTGCTTCTTTCTTTTACATTGTCTAATTTGCTGGCAGATATTTCTCAGCTATGGTTCCACTCCAAACTCCATCCTTGCTGTTGATTACGGCTTTGCTGTGGCATCCAATCCCCACGAACAGGTTCTCTTGTTCAAGCTTGTTCTTTGACATTGGTTTTTTCTTCTCTTTTTCATTTGTAGGTGGAGGTACCGATGGGTGTTTCACTAACAGATCCACTCCGAGATTTGAAACTTCAGACTCTATCGCGACATAATATGAGCACAGACTTGAATGACGATGGTTCTCCGAGTGGAAGAAAGCGTTTCACTTTCAGGTGATGAGTAAGAAATGTTCCTTCTTACTTTTCTTATGTTTTTAACAGGGATAGTGATCTAGCTGAGCGCGGCTCTATGGCGGTGGCTCCGCTCCGTGCTTTTGCTCGGCTTATATGTGCGGAATCTTACGAAGGTTCATGACACGTCAATCTCTTTTGTCTGAAACTAAACTCTGGATTTCAGACTTGGAAGAGATGGCCGAGGAATCGATTACACACGACGTTTTCTATGCGCTTTCACCAAGGCGTGACGAGCGCAAGGAATCCGAGGCCGTTTCTTTTGTGTGCACACAGATTAAGCAGCAAGTTGATCAACACTCTAAAGCTCTAAAGGTTTGATCGCTTTGTTTCTATTACATCTCCCTTGACCCATTGGTGGGCAGGATCTCGACGACGATCGTGAAATCCCTCTATCAAGGAAATCAATATTGAGAAACATCCTGACTGGAGAGCTCCGTGTTTTACGAAATCTGTCCTGCATTACTTGTTTATAATCAAGTTTATTTATAAACAGTTTTTTTTTTTGGTTTGGTCAGTGCGTGAGAACTCAAATTTTAGAATTAAAAAAACATTTCATACCTGAACTCGTCACCTTAATAAAACATCTGGAATGAATGAAAAGCAGCCAAAATTTCCTATCAAGAAAGACATTTTCAAGGTTATATAAATTTTATAATTTAAATGATACCTTGGCACAAAATGCATCATCATCCTCCAGCTCTCCAAAACGAAAAGCCTGATCCCCACAAGCAGGCAAGGCTGCGCAGCCACGAGCATCAAATATTGTTGCCACTATTTCTGCTTTGTTATGATCTGGACCAGCAACTTTTGGCAGTCGAGCCTCATCCCACACCAGAAACATGATAACAGAATCCTTGTAATCCTTGCTAGTCCTCTCCATGACATGAAGCACTGCGGTCTTAACATCTCCTGTTATATTGAAACGCTTCAAGATCTCATTAACCTTTCCATTAAAGATGACATCTATCAAAACACAAAAATCTCTTTGAATCATGTAACTCCAAGCTTCAAGGTTTAACGGAAGAAAGTAAGTAAAAAGGATTTCACTGGAAAGTTCGTTTTACAAGAATCTCTTCTGTACTCCAATTGCTTTCTAACTGTACACAGCCGCTGCCTACGTTTTTCACTGCTTTTTCCGGGCCTCGAGCATCTGCGCCGCGAGAGCCAGGGTCCTCTGGAACTGCTCGGGGTCTCCCTGGTGGAACTGCGCAATCGCGGCACTTGGCGCCCACGCCGGTTGCTGTGCCTGCGCTTGCTGCGACGATGTTTGCTGGAGCAACGAAGTCAGCTGCGCAAGCTGCTCGATTGGAAGCTGAGGGGCAACGACAGCATTTGGCTGCTGCTGTGACACGACCACGCTCTGCTGCTGCTGCTGCTGATCTCCCGGTCCCGGCCAGGAGAATCCAGGAGGAGCAGCCACAGGAGCCGGGGCAGCAGCGCCAGTCACGCTTAGAGGAGCGGCCATGGCACTGGGAGCGGTGCTAGTCGCCGGGGGAAACATCGACCATGCCAGGAGCTCCGGAGGCAAGTTTGCCGGTGGCGGCGGCTGGGAAGTTTGGAAGTGATCCTGCTTTTGTTGGTGGTGATGGTGCTGCTGCTGCTGCTGCTGGAGTTGGACGTGATGGTGGTACTGGCTCCGGAAGTTCAACACCATCCCGATGATGCAGTCGCTCCGCGTCACCTTGAGGACCTTCTCCGCGAAGGGCGACGGCGGCACGAGGAAGAGGTTCGTGGCGTCGCCCAGCTTGACGACTCCCGCCCGGTGGTTCTCTCGGAGGTAGCGCAGGAAGTCGTGGTAAGCCATCAGGTCCACGTCCCGCGCCGGCATGAACAAGACGACTGGAAACTCGGCGGTGGGATAGATGTGGTCCGCGAGCCTGTCCAAGTCCGTGCGAGACGTGCAGTTTACGACCTCGGGTCTGCAAGCAAAGCAAAACCAGCTTTCATGAGCAAGGAGAAAGGAAAAGAGGAAACCAGAGAACTTACATCAGGAGTGTCTCGACTTTGCCGCTGGCTAGAAATCCACGAGCTTGGCAGACAACAGTGCCACCTTTTGCGATGACTCCGTGCCATCCCCAGCTGTCCGGGCCTTGGACGGGAAGAAACGGCGAGCCAAGACGGGGTCCACTCTGCTCGGCAGGCGACACTCTCGACTTCTTGGCGATGGCCTCGTTCGGCTCCGAGGCACCGTCTTTCCCATCCACGGGGCCTACTTCACTGGTGGAAAACTCTATGTGGAGCCGGTGTCCATTGATCGGTTTCCCTGAAAGAGCGTTCTTGGCCAGAGCCGCCTCTTTGACTGAGCGAAACTCTACAAAGCAGTAACTTCGCGACGCGAACAGTTTTACCCGGTCGACCTCGCCGTAGGGAAGAAACAACCTGTGGAGCGTCTCCTCGTCGAACTTGGCGTTGGCTGGGAGGCCGATCCACAAAACCTCGCTGGGAGTATCGTCCTTGTTGCCGCCGCCACCTCGCGGAGCGGAGCTGGGAGCTGACGGTCCCGAGGCAGGACCCTGCATGAAAGGAACCGTCAGATGTAGCGCGACAACAAGATCAAAGTACCCGTTTCGAAGCAAGAGAGCGATAATCTACGCGCAGGACGTCGTCACCGAAGCGTTTCCCGTTGAGCGCTTCCACGGCAGCAATGGCATCATCAGTTTTAAAGTAGTCCACCATGAGAGAGCTCTTATCTTTCAACAGCTTGAACTCCTCGATGGCTCCATACTTTTGGAACTCCGCCTCTAGCATCTCCTTGGTCACGCTTAGAGCTATCCCAGCCACAGCCAAATGCCTGTTAGGCCTCGCCTGGAGATGAGAAAACACCCAAGCTTTAGTATCATCCACAGCACCAAGCTCAAACACACACACACACACACACACACAAAAAAAACGAAATACCAGCCTAGGAAAAATCACCACTCTAAAGAACAGACTAGAGAGAATCGAGAGAAATCCCTGCCTGGAAAAGAGAAACCCACCCCTTTGGCGAATTCTATTCGCAAAGGCTGCCCCGCGATGTGTGCTCCGTGCAGCCCCTCCTTGGCGCGCTCGGCGTCCTCTTGCTTCCGAAAATTCACAAACGCGTATTGCCGCTGGGGATAGACCGTGACGCTGTCCAGCTCTCCAAATTTCCCAAACATGTCGCGCACCACGGACTCCGGTGTCTCCACGGCAACGTTCCCCACCCAGAGATGCCGCGAGGGAGCGCCGGCGGATTCATCGTGCGCGCCCGAGAATGAAGCGGGAGGAGGATGCGACGACGGCGATCTCGATGACTGCCGCTCGGGAATCGCTGCTCTTGCCACCTGATGGAGATCGCACACACGGTCATCACGCGAGAAAGAAGAAATCTGCCTTACAGCCACGGGCTCCTTCATTCCCAAGCGTAGCGCGCTCTCGATCAGCCCTAGCTACCAACAAAAACCAAAAACCCTAACAACTACTTTACTTTAAAGGCTTAGAATCCAAAGTTTAAGATATAAACAAAACCACTTTCTTCCACCATACTTTACAACATAGTTTACAGAAAAAAAAAACTCGGCATTATTTCCTTCCTATCGCTTTGCCATAACTTGAAAGAAACCTCTTCGTCACCGTCGTCTCTGTGGCTTCTCGCTAAGAACTTCTTCCCAAATCTGTGAGATGCCCTGTGGCTGATTGACTTGGAGCTCATTTGATCGCGCTTGTTTTCCCTGTCCCGCCTGTGTAGCGCTTGTAGCAGCAGCCATAGTTTCTTCACTATTGCTGGATGTAGAGCTCCTGCTTGGAGATGAAAAAGGAGCCTTGTTGCTCGGCCGGCTCCATCACAAACTGCTCGCTAAACGTTCCCATCTGCCGGCTCTGGACGTCCAAGGACGGGCTGGCCAGGAGTCCCTCCACTTGGATGCCGTCGCTGGTCGGAATGAAGTGGCTCCCCAGCACGAAGGCCCCGGACACCCGGATCACGATGCCCCGCTTGGAGTACGCGCAGCACTGCAAGTTCTCCACGACGTGAACGAGCCTCTCCTCGGCTCGCTCCCCGGCCAGCATGTTGCGGATGTCCGTGAGCGTCGTGAACACTTGATCCAGACCGCAGACGGTTTGGTTCGCGAACCTGCGTAAGGAGGGAATTAAAGGGGACCGGCAGACGAGAAAAGCAAACTCACGAGAAAGTCGAGTTTTGGCGGTAGAAAGTCTTCATGTGATGCCATAGCGAGTCAGGACCGTCAAACAGCATGTAGTAATGGACCGTAAGCATCTGCAGCGTCTCAATGATCAGTAAGTCAAGTGGAAGAGAGAAAACAAAACATCTTACATCAGACAGGTCTTTCAACCGCTCTGTTGGATCGAAGACACTGTGCACAAAACCAGCCAAGTCAACATCTGCGTTCTCGTACTTCTTAATAAATGGGTGTTGTAAAAGCTGCAGCAGAAACGAACATGTAAAACTGGGGACCTCTGGGAGCCGAAATAAATTCCAACCTGTTCTGCTGTTGGCCTTGTATCGGCATCTTTTCGTAGGCATGCTTCCACAAACGACCGAAACTCGCAGGAGAATCTGTCCGCAGGCGGGGCTGGAGACGGATCATACATTACCTGTAAGCAACTTACACAGATCAGAACATACAGGAGAGTAGTGTCGGCTACCAGGACAAAAACCTTACTTGAAGCATCAGATTCACAGGGCCCTTGCTAGCGTTGTAAGGGAACTCTCCAGTACCACACTCCAGCAACGCAAGTCCCAGACTCCAGATATCCGCCGGGTACGAGTAGCACTCGTTGTTGATTCTCTCTGGAGACATGTAAGTCACCGTGCCGACAAACGTGGCACACTGCCAAGCAAAGTGCAAATTAAGCAGGCTTGAGCTTGGTCACTAAGATGCGAACGCATACCATGGCAATGGAGTTGTCAAGGCCAGCACTGATCCCAAAATCTGTGATTTTCGGCTCACCTATCAGATTGATTAGAAGGTTTGCAGGTTTAATGTCTCGGTGAACTAGATGTCTTACTCCGTGAAGAAACTGCAAGCCCTGGAAAATAACACACAACTTTCGTGACTGATTGCGAGCACGCGAAAAAGCGAAGCTTACCGTAAAGGTGAGGCTTTACCTGTAAAACTTTTCGTGTGATGACCGACAGAATCGGCTCAGGAATAAACTTCTTGTTTCGCACGATATCCGCAAGTGATCCTCCATCCATGTACTCCAACGCTATGCTAATCTGTCCGCTATCAGGCGAATAAAACGCCCCGTAAAACTCTACAAGGCCTTTCGCCATGGGCGCTTCGCACAGTGTCCGAATCTCGTTTAGCAACTGTTGACGTTTTTCCTGAATCAAACGCAAAGGGAGAAGCCAAAGAAAAAAAGATCATCACCATCTCGAAGAAGAAAAAGGAACTTGGAAAGAAAACCTTCTCAAAGACGTTGATCTTCTTGAGGGCGAGAATCCGATGCGTTGGAATATGAATAGCCTTGCGAACGACGCTGCTAGCTCCCCATCCAATTGCTCCAAAAACGCACATTTCGTTGGACGCGCATTGATAAGTTCTCTCCTTGTCGTCTTTGTCGTCTCCACCGGCAGAGCTCTTCTTCTGGAGGCCCAGCTGATTGATATTATACTCGCCACAAGATCTGCTCAGAAGATTCAAGGTCCCTCCATCCGTGACCTGTGCCGCCAGCAAGCTGAATTAGCACCGACAACCAAGGGAATTCCCAAGATCGATCACACAGAGACGAAACCCTAGAGATTTCCAGAGCGCCAGGTGCGGTGCGCGCTCTGGAAACCCCGGGCATTCGATCCAGGGGGGCGAAATTTCCAATTCTCTTGATCGACACTCACCTTGTAGGACGCCGAGGCATCAATCGACATGTCTGGCCGCATGTTGATGAGCGGCATCAGCTTCTTCTTCATCTGATCCATGGTGATCGATCCCAGGCGATCGAGGAGCGGCCCGCCGCGCCCTACATAAGCCCCCAAAACGAAAAAAACGCACACACAAGAAAATTAAAAGGCACCAAATGGGCAACAAAGCCCGGTAGTTAGGGCTGTGGGCATTTTTAGGGTTCTTCGCGTAGGGTTTTACGAGCGAGATGGGCAAGGCGACGTTCATGAAGGGGAAAATGCTGGCCAAGGCGCTGCAGGCCGTGGAGGCGGGATGGATCCCCGAGCAGGTCTGGATGAAGGCCGCGCGCAGGTTAGAATTCAATCGACTGATCGACCGGCATTTTGATCCTGGATTGATTGGGTTTATCCAGAATGCAAGAAGAGCCTCTGGTGACCAAGAAGACGAAGAAGGAGCGGCAGCCAGAGGATGCGTTTATAGAATCGTTCCTCACGCGGCATCCAGAGTCGGAATTTATAGCTCTCGAGTAAGTGACTTCTCTTCCTTGCTAGCTGTGACGATCACTCTCTTTCCTCCCAGCGTTACTTCTAGCGATCACCCCGCGTCTCTTTTTGCTTCCCGGCAGATGGAAGTGATGAAGGCATTCGGATTGAAGAGGAATCCATGGCACAAGCGGCTGGCTCGCGAAATTGTCGAAGTGAGTTCTCAAATTCCATCTTTGACACGAGTTTTTGATCGATCTTGATGTCGCAACAGGCCGAATTGACGCTCCAGGAGAGGCTGCGCGATCAATGCCTGAGCGAGGAGAGGATCAAAGCGTTCCAAGAAGGGCGGAGGGGTCCTCCCGTGAAGAAAACCGCGCTCCAAAAGGCCCACGAGGAGGCACTGCGCCATCACCTCGCCGGCATGAAGAAGATGAAGCGCCAATACGAGGCTGGCTCGGTGGATTGCACGGTCCCATTCAAGGACGCGTTCGCAGAGGCTAAAAGATGGGACGAGCGCGACCAAGGTGGAATGTGGAGTGATGCTTTCTCCCAAGGCCCGGGAAGGAGAATCTGAGCAAAGTACTGGGAGGATATTCTTGCAAACCCGCACGAATATGCCGCCAGTGTTTTAAAATTGAAGGAGCGAGCTATAGTAAGGGGTCTAGTAAATGGAAGCGTAGTAAATTTGACGAGCTAGCTACGCTCGGTGTTGCATTGATCGAAGGACAGCCCGATGCGGGGTATATCCCTACATCCACTAGGCAATTAACCGTCCACTTTTTTACCACGCCGGCAGTAGTTACTAACTGTAAATGAGCTCCGCAGAATCTTCGCCGCCGGCCGTAGTTACCGAGTTGGCGTCACTTTCCCCTCCGCACGAGCTTTGGCCTTTTCAATTCATCCGGGCCGTTGGTAACGAGAAAATCAGCGGCTGGGGGGCTGCCAAGGTGGCCTTCGAGTCTGGCCGGTGGATTCGTGGGCCATCGACGGACAAGAAGGCTCCACAGCTGATGAGAAAGTGTTTTTATGTTGTCTGGCGCCCTCGTGTGCTCAAGAACCCTAGCTCATTTCCACAAGCAGTAGAAGCATGTGTGGTGGGGGAATGATTGGAGAAAGCGTCTGAGTCTGGAGCGTGCGCAGTGATTTTGATAGCGCTGTTGCCCTATCACTGGATTGGCGATCGATCCACGCCGGCGCGCGATCGGCCTGCATTCTCCGGTGATCCGGAGGTCCGAGCGCTTTCGATCGTGTCTCCCTCCGGCATTCCTTTCTCCGGCGAGCATTGGCAGGGGAGAGGAAAGAATGGCCCTTCTTGATTCCAGGAAGCTTGATTCAGCTCTTGCACCGTGGGAAATGCTGTGAATGCGGGCGGCCAGGCAAGAGCTATTGCATGCTGGAATCCGTGAAATATCTAGTGATAGATCGATCGATGCCGCGTCTCGTTTGGATCCAAGCCGTTCTTGTGTTTCTCCTGATCATTCAGCTATCCAGCGCCGACGAATCTCCACCAGGTATGGATATTTTTTTCCTTGTCGGTGCCATTTCAATCGATCAAACTTCTATTGTGTAGAATTGCTGGAAATATCTCAAAGGAACTCAACAGTCGAGTCTGCGAGTTGGAGCCGACGCCTCCTCGCAAGCCAGCTCTATAGCAGGAAACGAAGAAATCTCGGCACTAGTAAGCAAGCGTTCTCTACTCAGCTTTCACACTTTGGCGAAAACACTCAGCTATAACTTTCCTTCTCTAGATCGTATCTCGGACGAGTGTACCAAGTCGGACATCAGTGTCTTCCAAGGCCGCTCCAGTCCGCTCCCCAATGGCATCCCAACTTACAGCGTCCAGATCATCAATCTCTGCGTGGTGGGCTGCCCCTTGTCCAACATCCACATTGCTTGCGGCTGGTTCGCGTCCGCCAAGCTCGTCAATCCCAAGATCTTCAAGAGGGTCGGCTACAACGACTGCATCGTTAACGATGGTAAAGCCATCAGTGGAGGTGAGAGTATCTTTTTCCACTACGCGAATTCCTTCCAGTATCCTTTGAGAGTCCAGTCTGCGGTGTCGTGTTCTTCCGGTGTCTAGGATGAGAGGGGGGAAATGTTCGGTATCACTTACGATCGGGCCACAGTTTTTTACATGGGTTATACATATATGTATAGCTGCTTCCAGCTCCAGTTTAGCAGGTCCTGGGGATTTCATAGTACTGATGAGAGGCCTGCTGTTACAGATCCAGCAGGTTCTAAAGCGGGAATTGTAAGTAGAGGCTACGTTCTCGTGGCCGAAACGATGAGTTTATAAAAGGCTTCGGAGAGACTTTTCAAGCCGAGGTATTTTTCCATGTTCTTCGTTGAGCTTCGTGTTCGTTTTGTCATGCGTTGTCTTGTCTTGTGTGTTGTCGGTTTGTGTTTGGCTTTATTTTCTGCTATAAACCATACTTTCGGTTTATTTTCTAGTGTATAAAAAGACTAAGTTAGATGACTCTAAGCTGGAGTGACAGTAGATCTGACGAGTATTTTAGTATAGGCCTTCTGGCAGCAGCAGCCGCATATTTGCGAGAATGCCTTGCCTTGTGCTTTGGGAATTGGTTCCACTTAACTTTCAATCATTTGACATTCCCGGAGGGTGTCCTTGTTGTGCCAGCCGAGGCGAGTGTTACTACTTCTTTACGCAGTTGAGCTGTCCGGACAGATGGTGGACGTCGCAGCTAAGGCGAGGTTCGTCCGGATTCAAACGGTGGAGCGACGAGCTCTGGTTCGTTTGAGATTCGCATTGAATGAGCTTTGCTCGAAAATTTTTGGGAGCTTAGTGAAAAGGTACTCTATCTACACTTTAGCTCCTTTGAAACTTTCTTACGTTTTTTGAGACTCTGTGGCAGCAAGCAAGGAATATGAACGAGAGAGCTGTGAACGTCGGAGATGTACTTGTCACCAAGTTATACGATATGGATATGGATCTCTCCAGCGAAGTACTTCCTTGACCGTGTTAAGAGCGCGGCTTGACTCTCGGCTCAGCTGGTTCCTGTTCCCATCCAGGTACAGGAAAGCTCCGTTTAATTCTATCGTGATTGCTAAGCATGGTGGTGCTGTAAGGTCCATCGCCCACGCGGTTAGTTTGCTGCTGTTACTTCGAGCGTGGCTATCAAAGTTGCTAGTGGCTTGAGGCAAGGATGCGACGACGAGGATGCACGTAGGAGTACCGGACATATGGCGAGTTATAGTAAGTCGTCTGTTCAGGCAAGAAGCTGCGTTTACTGGCTAATCTTCCTCTCTCACACTATCTCTTTCTCTTTTCAAACAGGCTGAAGTGCGACCGCCTTTAACTTATCCTGTGGAAATGGATAGCTCGCAGCACCGCCAAGACTGCGAAGGTGTTGAAAAAGAGAAAGAGATTGGGGAGAGAGAAAGAGGAGGTAAGTCAGTACACAAGGTGAGCTGAGGATGGCAAAGTCGTGTTGATCGCTCCTTGCAAGTTGCTTGAATTTGCGTTCCATTCCAGTGCCTTACCTGACTGATTGAAACATTGCATTCGTTCATGCTAACTCGACTGCGACTGACAATCGCTTCCTTTATTTTCAAAGATTTGGAAGCGTATCTTGCGGAGGAGCTCTGAAAACTCCCAGCTCGACTACGGCGTTGCGTGCTTGTTTGCATGCTCGTAAGTCCCATTCTCCTGTTTTGTTTCTCTTGATTTTTTCTTTTCGTGGAGCCATCACTTTCTCTTCTTTTAATGTTCTCCAGCATCCAGGATCGCGTAACTTTGACACGGTAAAGCTCCTCGAAGGTTGCGTGTTCGATCCTCAAAGAAGAGGGTTTTTAGGTTTTTTAGGTCTCCATTTTCTTCCCAGCTGCGAGGATGAGCTTCGTCTTCCGGGGGACGAGAGCCGACATCGAGAGCGGGTTCCACGATTTCATACCCGAGCGGCGAGCGGTGGTAAGCGCCAATTCTCCCAAAGTTACAGTTACACTAAATTGTTTTGCCTGCTCCAGAGGTTCCATGGCGGGGGAAGGCCGCTCAACACGAATCCTGTCATCATTTTCATCACAAGTAAGAGATTCCAGACTTGAAGCTTTCGTGTTGACGGTGGCTTTGTCCAGTGTTCTTGCTGTTCATGGTTCTCAATTCCCAGCCGGTGTCTCCAAACTTCCTGGTATGGCTAGAAAAATAGATTCTTTCTTTTGGAAGCGAAGCTATACGATCACGATTCTTCTCTGCAGTTATGGTTTGGCATGGCCGTTTTCCTCATAACCACAAGCATCCGGATGTACGCAATGTGCCAGCAAATCCAAGCCCATGCAAACGCCGCGGCTGTGGCAGCGACGGCAAACGGGCTGATTGGTCACACCGAGCTTCGTCTGAGGATGCCGCCCATCGCCTTTGCAACCAGGGGCCGGCTTCACGGCTTACGCTTGCAGCTTGCGCTCCTCGATCGGGAGTTTGACGAACTTGGTTTGTAACTTTGCTTCCGCTCTTCTCTCACCTCGTTCGTTCCAACAGATTACGATGCCTTGCGGGCTCTGGATCCAGATAATCCTCCCGGCGTGCCGGCGTTGAGCGAGGCAGAGATAAACTCGCTCCCCGTTCACAAGTACAAACCACAAAAGAGGTGACTTCTTTGTTTCTCTGTTTCTTTCTTTCCCATAACTTTGTTCACGTTGTGTTTGAAGCCAACAAGGAAGCTCTCAGCAGCATCAGCCACAGGCATCTTCTGATCCAAACAAGGGATCTCCTTCTTCTTCGTTGGACGAGAAGCTAGAGGAGCTCACTTGTAGCGTCTGCCTGGAGCAAGTTATGGAAGGGGAGATTGTTAGAACCCTGCCGTGCTTACACCAGGTTCTACTCTACGCTTGCTTTCCATCACTGACGCTTTGACTCTTCCAGTTTCATCCGCATTGCATCGATCAGTGGCTAAGACAGCAGGCCACTTGCCCGGTTTGCAAATTCAAGATGTCAACAACGAACTAGACTAGATCTCGAGAAGAGGAACTTTCGTACATATTACTTTCATTGTGGATATGGACAAGAGTGGAAGAACAAAACGAAAACAGCAAAACAGCAATTCAAAGGTAGCGTGTTCTAGCTCATTCTTTGACTTCAGACGCGAGTAGAGGCTTGGTTCCCATCATATACAGGCGGCCTGCGTTGTCATCTGTGAGTAAACTAATTCGATTTGCTTTCGATTTGCTCCTTACCGTGTTGCCGGATGGAAATCTCTCGCAAGCGCTTGAAAGTGCCGCTTACCGTGTCCTTGTAGACTCGTGTCTCGATGTTTCCCTCGACGTAGACGTTCATCCTGGGAGAAGACACTCGTGAAGAACGAGAAAGAAAGACAATGTCCTCACCCCTTTTTGATCTGCATGGCAAGGGTGACGAGCGTGGGCTTGAACACGCAGATCCTGTGCCATTGCACGAAGCTACGCTGCGCGTAGGCTTGGGGGCTCTCTCCTTCGAGCGCTCGTCGGTGGTTCCTCAGGCCTCCAGTTCCCAAAGGAAAGGTGACCACTTCCGTGCCACTGCTGAGAGTTTTCACAGTGGGTGGCTGCCCGACTTTACCAATCAGAATAGCCTAGCAAAAGAAGAAAAAATGTAAGTTTGATCTAAACGAAAGTTTCGATCCAGCAAGAGCAATACTAAAGTTTCGATCTACCACGGAGAGACAAAAGTTTCGATCTACCAGGAACAAGCACGGCACGGAGGGAGAAAAGTAGAGAGAGAGAGAGAGAGAGAGAGAGAGAGAGAGAGAGAGACGATCCAGCAAGAGCAACGCTAAAGTTTCGATCTACCACGGAGAGACAAAAGTTTCGATCTACCAAGAACAAGCACGGCACGGAGAGAGAGATGAAAGTTTCGATCTAGCAAGTGCAACCAGAGAGAGAGAGAGAGAGAGAGAGCTTACTTTGTAGATTCCTGGAGCTATGTCAACGCTGTTTGAAGTAGCAGAGCTTGGCGGGCTCAAGAACTTGTCCTTGCTACTCATTGTTTCCTCCACGGGCTCCATGCAAAAGGACCTCGCCAAGCCTGGAGAAAGAACCACATGAGAAGAGCGAGGGAAATCGCACCAGACACCTTCGGGATGGCACAAGGACCTTGTCAATCCCGCTGCATTGGCGCGCCATCATCGCTAGAACGATCGATTGAGAGGCAAGCACGATTTACAAGGGGCAAAAGACCCTGAGAACCTGGAGATGGAGCCGGCGATGGCGCCGATAGCCGGGAACGCATCGCTGCTCGCATCGAAGACCTGAGCGCTATCGCGGCCATCATAAACCCTAAACCCTCAAAAGAGAATTTACTGTCTCTCTTCTTCCTCCTCCCTCCTACTTCTTCCTCTAGCCTTCTTCTTCTGGCGCTCCAAATCCAAGCGAGCGTTTCTGAGCCAGCTCTAGAATTCCAAGCAGCAGCGCTAAAGCGCCATAGTGACCTATTAGGGTTTATATTTCTAGGGCTTGGAAGGAGCGGGAGCGGCTCGGCTCGTCACGATGTTCTGCGCCAGTGAGTGAATGCTCCTTCTCTAGCTCCAGCCGTCGTTACGAGCTCGTATTGTGTGTTTTTCTCGCAGTCTCTGGATTGACGCCGGAAGAGCCCGTGATTTCCAAGCGCTCTGGGCTTCTTTTCGAGAGGAGGCTGATCGAGAAGCATCTTGCGGTAAGGATTTAGTGTGTTTAGTGGCTGTTCCAATCGATGCATTGTGGCTGTGCTTCAGGAAAATGGGACTTGCCCTGTCACTGGAGAGTCCTTGACCGAGGAAGATCTCTTACCGGTGAAGACTAACAAGGTTTTTGAGCGCGTCTGGATTTCTTCTCTCTTCTCGTCTTAGAGATTTTATTTGCAGGCCGTGAAGCCGAGGCCCGTTACAGCGACGAGCATTCCTGGAATGCTTGGAATGTTTCAGAATGTGAGTCCGTTACAGTTTCAAGCTTGGAAAATCCTTACCGTTTGGGTGATTTCTACAGGAATGGGATGCGGTTGTCTTGTCGAACTACCACTTGGAGCAGCAACTTAACAATGCTCGTCAGGAGCTCAGCCATGCCCTCTATCAGGTTCCGCAGCCACAAGTAACTCCATAGCTAACTGCAAGTTTGTTTGCAGCATGATGCAGCTTGCCGCGTGATTGCCAGGCTGAAAACCGAAAGGGACGATGCGAGAACTCTACTTGCTCAAGCAGAACTGCAAAGGCCGGCGGCTCTACCAGAGGCCGATGCAGTAACTAGCAACGGCAAACGGGGTAAGCTCTTGCTTTTGTAGTTTTCCTCTCACTGATTACGAGGGAAATAGAGGCAGAGCTGGAGCAACTGCCACCCGCTAAAACGCTCAAGCAGGGGATCTCTGACGAGATGATAGCAGAACTTACGCAATGCAATGCTGACCTTTCTAGTTTGCGAAAGAAGCGGCAGGTGGGTCTGGGCGTGTCGCGTCTTTTTGTGTGCCTCATTCTAGTCTTTTGATGTGCAGATTCCACCCACATTGGTGAAAGCCGAAAATCTAGAACAGTATAGCGTGATTTCAAGCCATCCTTTGCACAAGACCAGCAGGCCGGGTATATTATCTATAGATATCCATCATCAGAAGGTATATGGTTTGCTTATCTTGTCCTTCTGTTTTTAATCCATTGGTGTGATTCTAGGATGTCATTCTAACAGGCGGAAATGACGGCAATGCAATTGTCTTTGACCGCTCCTCTGGTGAAATCGTTGCATCTCTTGTTGGTCATAGCAAGAAGGTCAGCTTATTTTCGTGCTGCAATTTAGCCATGCTTGATGTTTTGTGCAGGTGACGAGTGTAAAATTTGTTGCCCGAGATGATCTCGTCTTGACTGCTTCGGCTGATAAGGTAGAACAAAGGGCTTTAGTCGTGCATATTTTTCTTATTGTCACTTTCCTACAGACGGTAAAAATTTGGCAAGGTGGTGAGGAAGGGGCATATAGCTGTAAACAGACGCTTAAGGAACACAGTGCTGAGGTATGTTTGCTTTTGTTCTTCATGAAAGCTCTCGGTAAACTTGAACTTCGTTATCAGATTCGGGCGATTACCGTCCATCCAACGAACAGATTTTTTGTAACAGCGTCAGATGACAAAACATGGGCCTTCTACGACCTCAATTCTGGCACTTGTACAACGCAGGTAAAATTTTAGAATACCTCATTACCGTTTTAACATGCGAGTTTTTCAGGTTACCGATGCAGCAGTACAAGATGGATATACAGCCGCTTCCTTCCATCCTGATGGCTTAATCCTTGGCACTGGAACTGCGGAATCGTTGGTTCGCATTTGGGACGTGAAGTCACAGGCAAGCTCTTTCTTTCGAGTTTGTTGTTTCGGGCCTTAACATTTTCTTTGTTCCTTATCCAGAACAACGTTGCCAAGTTTGAAGGACACTCTGGGCCCGTGACTGAACTATCGTTCTCTGAAAATGGTTACTTCCTGGCTGTGAGTGCTTCCGAGTTATTGTTTTTGGTGCGTTGTTAAACTCGTACGCCGTGTGCAGACTGCCGCCAGCGATGGCGTGAAGGTTTGGGATCTGCGCAAGTTGAAAAACTTTCGATCGTTTTCTCCATACGATCCTAGCACACCAACCAGCACTGGTTTGTACTTTGTTTTCCCATGTTGCCTTACAGATTCTTACGTGCTCGTCTCTCCGCCAGTTCAATTCGATCACAGTGGCTCCTATCTCGCGCTCGCTGGCTCAGATATAAGGTGACAGTACCATCCATATTCATTTCTCTAGGTGGAACTCAGTCTTACACCGTTTTCTCGTTGCATCCAGAGTGTTCCAAACGGGAAGTGTGAAGCAGGAGTGGAATCTTGTGAAGACCTTTCCAGATCTCTCGGGATCAAGTAAGTCCCTTTGTTTTTGTGATTTCGTGTCTCATGGGCTTTTGTGCTGCAGACAAAGTTACGTGCGTCAGGTTTGGCCCGGACGCCTCCTTCCTTGCGGTTGGAAGCACTGACAGACATCTTCGTATACTGGGAGCTCCTGTCACGACTACGGATGCATAGAATTCTTACTTCTCACTTGCGTTTCTTTTTGTTCCTTCTTTCGGCTCGCACTTGAGCAAGTCGATACTTCCTTCTCGTCCTACTGCTTCGGTGAATTTTACAGCAGCTGGACAGATCTGTACTACCCTCAAAAGATTGTGTTCTTCAAAAGCTTGGGAGTTTTTTCAAACGAGTTTACTTGTCTACTGCCATAAAACTTTGCTTGATCGGTCACTGCAACCTTTAGAGTGAAGAGCAATGTACACAAACAATCATAACTCACGTTGCTTCGACTCCAGTCCATCCATCCAGTGGAGCATTTACATAAGCATAAAGAAAAAGAGCTCTCCTCGAAACTGGATCTCGGGAAAAGGAGACAGAGAGCGAGAACGGCACGGCCATGACATCTCCGACGAGCGCGATCTGCGTCTTCATTCTCTTCCTGTTTCAAGGTGCCGCTTGCTGGACAGATTACTACTACCAGCACCACGGACTAGAAGACGATGACGATGATCCAGGTTTGCAGGACTTCCCAGAAGTAGGATTTCCAGCACCACCACCCCCGAGATCCGGATTTCCACCTTACTACTTCCCACGTCCACCACCATTCTCACATCCCAGGCCGGGAGGCCCCTACAGTCCTCCAAAACCATATCCAAAGTTCGTCCCACCCTCTCCAAGAGCAAACTTATCGCCACCTTCGTATCCAGGATTTAGAAGACCACCGCCGCCACCACCACGGAGATCTCCCCCTCCGCCACCGCCTCCACCGCCACCACCACCGCCTACTCGTCCGCCACCTCCCAAGCTCAATCCTCCACCACCTCCAACGCCTCCTCCAGCTCCTAAGATCTGTCCTCCACCTCCAAGGTTACCACCACCACCCCCTAAGATCGCCCCTCCACCTCCAAGGACACCAACGCCACCACCACCGCCTAAGTTCGCTCCTCCACCCCCAAAGAGACCACCGCCACCGCCACCGCCACCATTTCCAAAGCCTCGTCCACCACCCCCGAGTGTTCCAATCACTCCAGTGGATCCAGCCCCTGCAACTCCGGCCCAAAAGGCGGGCATAGCCGTCGGCTTCATCCTCGCGCTGGCTCTCCTCTGCGCGATGATCTACATCTGCAAGAAAGTCCACAAGTATAGAGACTCTCGTCGCTATTCCGATCAATAGTGTGATCCCCCGTCCCCTTGTAAATAAAAACTCGTGAAGTGTACCTTGGAAAGCTTGGCGGATTGTCGCTGTAGGAGAACTTATTCCACCATTGCAAAGAATCGATCACGAAGCGGCCATGGTGTCCATTCCCTGTGTGATTATCTGTTCGGCTCGCTTCTTCCTCTCGTCCTTATCATCCTCGGCGTTTGCAACCGACGATCTCTGCCGCTTGAGAAGCTGCTGCTGCTGCTGCTGCTGTTGCTTGCTCGCCGCCAGGATCCTCTTCGCAAACACCCCCTTGGAACCCGCCTTGCCACCAAAGTCGAAGCTCAGTACCACTCTCTGGCTCCGGTTACTCTCCAAAAGCTCGCCTTTCTTTTGCTGTGGCTGCGGCTGCGGCTGTGACTGCTCCACCAGAGCCAATCCATTCTCATTGCCACCACCACCGTCCTGGATCTCGAGACCACCGTCACCATTACCATTACTCGCAGACTCCACCACCGACGCAAACGCCTCCACGATAGAAGGAACCTGCGGCACCACCCCGGCATTCTCCCCGCCACCTCCGTCCTTGAATCCTCCAAACTGGACCACCATGAGCTCCTTGGCCCCGGCCGCTAGCGGCGGCGCCAGGAAAGCATTCCCACTCCCACTCCCACTCCCATTCTCTTCACTGCCACTGTTCTCCTTCTCCCTGTCTTTGAAAACCATGCTCGCCGTGGACGAGAGCCGCGAGTGGAGCGCGACGAGAGAGCTCTCGGCCTTTCGGCGCTGCCGAGCTTGCTCCAGGCGATTAGCGGCGGGCTCTCTCTTGCGATCGGGCCACACGGGCGTGTGGCGGTACGTGTGTGGGTCTGGAAGAGCCGGGAGCCACGACGGTATGTGTGATCCTGGCGGGGCCTCCCCGAGCTGCGCGAAGCTGGGCGCCGCGAGCCTCTTCTTGGCCACGGGGAATCGCGGCAGCGGCCGCGCGAATGGAATCTCCTCGCTGTACTCCACGAAACGCATCACCTCGCGCAGCGCGGAGCTCCGGGCGATGGGGCGGGAGGGGTCGGCGGCCGGCGGCGCGGGGCCGACGTCCTCCATGGCCATGATCAAATCGAAGGCGTTGCTCTCGATGCGCGCGGCGAGGTTGGAGTAGAAGTGCGCGGCGCGGGCGAGGTCGCGGAGGTAGCGGATGGCCACGTCCGCCAGCGTCTCCATGGCCGACGCCTGGATCGAGTGGAAGCCTACCGATTCGCAGATCTGCGCGACCGCCATCTTGGCCACGATGCGCCCAAACTCGTCCCGGCTGCTGCTGCCGCCGCTGCTGCCACCGCCCATCCCTGCCCCAGCTCCACAAGCCCTAATTAGGGCTCCTGGCTCTCCACTAACGTTCATTTCAAATTTAAAAGCGCATGGTGTTACTTTTTTACATTTAAAAAAGTTACGTCATGAGATAAATTGTTGACCTAAGAGGTTAAGTTAAAGTGAGGCAACAGGAATCGAACCCCTAACCAGGCAGTGAGACTGTTTTGCGTGCCATAGCATGCAAGGTATGTGTGTGTCAATAACTACCTTAGCCTATATGTTCTCCTCCACACTCTATTTGTCCAGGATGGATGGATCATGGATGGATAATGGATGATGGATTGGCATATGAAACTATGGATTTATCGCATTCTTCTAGAGCCTCCATATCGCTAGAGTGTAGCTAGCTGAGCTCTAGCCCTGGCCCATAGCTTACACAGCCGGCATTTGGAACACACACACAGCCTTCTTTACTGTGTTCCAAGTACGCTCGTGCCGTACGCAAAATCTCTTCTTCCTTGTCCGGCGGCGATTTAGCCCTCGTCCTTTGTCACGAGAAGTAGAGGTGGAAACGAAAAAGAAATGGTAAAAAAAGGTGAGTATTTTTTTTCTTTTAGATCGGACATGAACCGCTGGGTGTTTGGCAGGGAGAGCGCGTTTTCTCACGGGAGCTTTGCTTGGAGACGCAGGATCCAAAGTACACACTTTGTCTCTTCCACCTTCCAGTCAGTAAGTTACAAGGCCCGGTCAGTCAGGGTGTCAAATGCTCGCTCTTTCGCAATCGAGCTTATCAGCAGCTTGGCAAAGCTTGATCTCGATGATCATCACCTTATCACTTGTCACGGCATTTATACGAGCATAATGCCATATCATAGGAGGAGTAGAACATCCAAAGAGAAGAAGCTACCTCAAATGGTTTTGAGAATTTACTATTAATTCACTGTATAAACCTCACTTAAACCCCTCTCCAGCCCTAAACAATTCGCAGAGGGCGCGAATGTGATGGTGGCTTGATTGGATGGGCTTGATTGGATTGGGTCGATTGGAATGCATTGACTGGATGGATGGAGCGAGGAACAAGAGAGAGAGAGAGAAAAGAAATTCCCATTTTCGCCCAAGCAGGGGCATTGATGCGATTCAATGCCGAGTCGCCACTCCAACGCAAGAATGCCCCCATCCACGCCACAAATGCCCGCCCAAGGTCAATGGCTTTGTAAATGCCTTTGTTCTAAACACCACGATTGCGATGTTCGTCTCTCTTCTCTCGCTCTTCTTTGCTTCGTCGGCGGGTCAGCCCAGTGCCAAGAGCGTGGGGCGCGGAGATGGATTTCTCCTCTTAATCCTCCGAAAGGGACGTTGATACGATAAAACAACACGCTGCCAGCGTACGGACGTCCCTTGCAGCCCAAGGAACTAATCAAAATCCGGGGAGAGAAACTCCACAAAGACACAAACACCACTTCTTGGATCAAAAGATTGATTTGGATTCTCTCTCTCTTTTCTCCAAGTCCCTCGTCGATCTGGGATGATACGTAACCCTCTCGAGAGAGAGAGAGAGATCTCGCTGTGGCCTAGAAGCTAGATCCATCTGCGTTACAAGTGTGTGTTTGTTAGTGTAGAGCCTGGGAGCTTAGCTTAGAAGCAGTGAGAGTGCGTCCTCCAGTCCGGTAGTCCTCCAGTGATCTAGTCTAGGGAGAAGGAAAGGAGCCTCTTTTTTAACTGTAAGAATCGCTGCGGATGTTAGCTCGATCTCGAAGAACAGGAAGAACACTAACGAGAAAAGCAAAAGAAAATGAAAAAAGAAAAACTGACCCGAGCCCGAGCACCTTGAGATTCTCTCTAAGATTGTTGATGGCTGGTTTCTGTCCAGTCGGGTGTTGGGCCGCGAGGCCTTTTCCTGCCCAGCGACACTCCAAACAGCTTTGGACCTCCTCCTCCTCCTCCTGCTCCTCCCAGACCATCGTCTTCCTGATCGTCGTCTCGACGACGGTGGTGGTGGCGGTGTTCTTCACTGGCGGCGTGCGCGGCCATCTCCCGGAGCTTCACGTCCACGAACGCGATCGTGGACGCGGTGGGAGTGGTGCTGCAATCCACCACCGCCGCCGCCGCCGAGACGCTCGACTCGTCCGTGCAGCCCGAGGACGAGGAATTGTTGTAGCTGGGCTTCTCGTCCTTGGCGGCGAGCGCTGCCACTCGATCTCCCGCGGAGGCCACCCTCGCCAAGCCGCTGTCGAGGATCATCGCGTCGGTGGTCGTCATGACCATCCTCTTGGAGCTCGTGAATTCGTAGTACTCTTTGCTGCTGCGAAGAAACGATCCCGTGCTTCCGAGCTTGCCGTGCTGCTGCTGCTGCTGCTGCTGCTGCTGGATGAAAGTCACGGCGTGCTCGTAGAGCTTCTGGAGGCGCAGGAGCTCGTTGGTGAGCAGCAAATTCTCGCGGCGGAGCCTCTCGTTGTCCTCGCTCAGCAGCGACGCGGTGTCCATGTAAGGCAGCACCGGCATGTACGAGGAGGCCAGGTGATCGTCGCTCCACGCCATGAGCGGCATCCCATTCGAAACCAAGTGCGGCGTCTTCCTCCGGTGGATCTCCGACAGTAGCTGGCGCTCCCCCTTGCGGAAGAACTCGTTCGCGAATTCCCAGCGATCGGGAACCACCTTGCGGAATCCCTGCACACAGCATTGTTGCAATGTGAGTGAGTTGCCAGAGAGACTCTTGCAAGGATCAAAGCAAAACGCTCGGTGGAAGAACGAGAGAAAGATAGGAAGGCAAAGCGAGCGAACGAACAAACAAGAGCTTGGAATGGAACTCACATATGTGTTGAGCTGCCGGACGAAGCTCGAGAAGTTGTTGTGCTTGAAGTAGCTGGGGAGCAAATCGGTGGCGAACTCGGGCGGCTTCCACACGACGAATGTGGTGCCATCGCTGCCCCACGACACGATATCGTCCGAGCCGGGATCGTCGACGAGCTGGAACGTCTTGGTCAAGAAGGGCGCGGGCGTGCTCCTGCTGGATTCCACGGACAGGAGCTCGCTGCTGCCGCAATCCAAAGGCGGCATTTCGGCCGCCTTCCTCATAGATCTTGCGCGAGACCGAGTCACAACAAGATCGCGAGCTACCTGTGCTCTACAGCAACAAAAATCGGTCCAAGAAAGAAGAAAGAGATCAGCGATCGCGCTCTCTCGCTCCCGCGATGTCGTCGGCGTCTCGATCGAGAGAGAAAACCCTAGGGCGCTGCGCAGAGGCGTTGGCGCTCTTGGCCGAGGAAATAAAAGCAAGAAGTTCCACAAGAAAATCCTCGAGCCAAAATCATGGCAAAGTTCTCACACACACACACACACACACATTCCACCAGCTGGCCATTCCGGCAGAGAATCCACGACGAATCTCAGCTGTCCAAACCCCACATTACGATTCGCCGCCACCATAAAGCCTTTTCGTTCCAGCCACTGGCAGTTTAACATAATCGCGATCATACATGGATGACCAACCATAGCCTTGATCTTTGTTCCTACAAATTTTTTAATCTCCCCGACCAATGTACAAGACATTTAACATCAATCAATCAGAATGTTCTTCTATTCTCTAGGATCTTCTCTCTCTCTCTCTCTCACACACACACACACACACACACAACATACGTATAAACTATTATCTCTATGGCTTGTGGAATATATCATTGTTGAGAGTCGGTTATAAAGTTCCATGTGGTGATCCTTCGATCCATCAGTGCTTTGCTTTGTGCTGTTTTCCTTTGATTTTGTTACTACTGCCCCCGAAAAGATGGTGGCACCACTACTCGTCAAAGTCCCATTTTCTTTCATTAATCCCTCGCAAAAGCCTCTTTGCGCGATTGATTTGAGTGAGCGGCGCACCAAGAACTTCCCTCCGACCGGATCAATCAAGCTTCTTTTTCTCTTTTTCGCCTTTCGTCCACGCCGCGAGAGAGAGCTCTTCCCTCGCTGCTACCAAAAAAAAGTAAACGGGAATCCTCGACCTGTCACGGTGACGGGTGTCCAAAAAAGTTAACTGCTGCTTCTACCTGTTAGATGACGAAGAAAAACCGGAGCCGCAACGTTGCTTCGTCGCTTTTGGGATCTTCTACACGAAGATCACCTCCAGTTTGGCGCAGGGATTCGCGTCGATGTGATTCACGAGGTCTTCGTCTGTGAACTGCCAGGAGAATAGCGCTTCCCTTTGCGTGAGCCCGACTGGATAAACTCTGTGGACTTTGAGCGGGCCTTTTGCCTTGAGCATCTCCGGACGCGCAGCATTCCAGATTGGGACGTGGTTTTTGGAGCTGAACTTGGATATGATAGCTGCCTCGAGAGCAGCCACCGAGAGGTTGTCAGACCTGTTGTAATGAAAGCGAGTCAGTGCTTGGAATGTAAGGAAGTCGAAGTCGAAGTCGCGACCAAGTGTACCTTAAAAAGATGGATTCCAGGTGAAATCTTCCTCTCTCTCGGACATAAAGATGGAACGTCGTCGTGGAGCCGACGCTGCATTTACAAGGTCGGGACGCATTGCGACTACGAAACGCTTCTTGTTCCTGCTTCTGGTGGATAGCTGTGGCTACATGAATGCAGAGACGGCATGAAGAGTGAACAGCAGCCATGTCAATCAATGCTTTGAATGAATCCGTTGGTCCCTCAAACTTCCAGCTGCAAGGCCAACCAACAACCAGGTTAGTCCCCTATTCTCTGTTTCGAAGCGAGCGTGCCTGCATACCGGAGAGTTTCATTGTACGCTGTAGCATTTCTTGCAAGATACTTCATTTGCTTGGCCACTGCTTGCACGTCCTTTATCGACTTAAGATAGAGTATGGAGTTTGGCGAAGGCGCAAAGTTTTGAATGTTTGGTGCACCAATAACGACCGGAACGGAGCCTGCAGAACTGTCCATGAGCAATCAGTGCACAACACCGATAAACATACCAGCTTCGAGCGATTGCCAGAACTTCTCAGTCACATAATCTTCCTCGTTGGAGTTTTCAAACGCCAAGCTAAACTTGTAGTGGCGCAATGCATCCACTTTTTCCACCGCTGCTCTACACAATAAAAGTGTCGGATTAAAAACAGCATCCCAAACACAACGGCAGAACGAGCTACTTACAACGATGGACGTTTGTCAGACACGATCCATAAGAATCCACAGCAACCCCATAGCCTTGGAGTTTGGTGATCGCTTCCAGCCGAAAGTTATGGCCGCCACAATTGGAGATGAAAGCGGCAGCCAAGGATTTCTCCGTCTTCTCTTGGACTGGAGCCATCAGATCGTACTCTGCCCACGAAAAATACCCGACTGGAACATCTGATTTCAGACTCGTCGTCATAATGACTGTGTACCCGTGACTGCAAGAACACTCAAAACGTTACTCGCGATAACTTGGAATCAAAGACACACAAACCTTCGAGCAGTGTTTAGCTCAAACTCGGAGTAGTATTGACTAGACTCCATCGTCCGTGCAACACGAGCAACCCCCTCGTCGGCACTGAGACCAAAGACCGCATCCACGCGCTTCCTCGTGGCCATGGTGATCACCCCAAATTGGCATCTCACCGCGCAATTGTCGGTCCCCTGGAAGAACACGACCCCCAGAGATCATCGCCAGTAACTCGAGTAGAGCCCGAAATATCACTTACCTGTGTCTCGGAGAAATCGACGCGCACTGGATCCTTGTCGAAATCGCGCAAAGTACTCACCCGGTCCTGATCCTCGAGCCAATCCTCGCAGCGATCCCTGGAGCCGGAAATCCTCCTCTCCGTGAAGCGCAGCGCGCTCCTCGCATTCCCCAGCAGATCGACGCGGAGGAGCATCACAGTCTCGCCGACCACGAGGAGGATCGCAATCGCCACCAGCAGCCGCCACAGCGCGCCTGCGCGCCTGCTCACGCCGCCGCCGCCAGCAGCGCCGCCGAGAATCGGAGATGCCGTGCCGCCGCCACCAGCGGCGGCATTGTTCCTGCTCGCCATGGGCGGAGTGAAGCTACTACTACTTTCAACCTATTTTTTTGGACCTTTCATCGACGGCCACGATCGACACTCCCGTTAGTCATGAGAGATCTTTGAGATCCTTGTGAAAGAGAAGTATCGAAGGCGACACACACATTAGTTAGCTCTATCTCGGTCGAAAGAAAAGCAAGCTTTTTAACATCGCTTTTTCTTCTCTTTTCCTGGCTAGATCGCTCCAAAAGTAGCGAGCGACCTCCCTTGATTTTTATTCCACTACGATCGAACTTTTACGTGATCCAGCCGAGCTCCAGGGAGGAACTTCTCTCGATCAATGGAAAGAGTAGAAGCTCTGATCCAGACGAGCTTTCGCCACTGCTCGCAACGGAGTTCTCGGCGGCGTTGTGAGCCCGTAAGCTTCCATAACGTCGATGTCTTCCCTGCTCGTTCCCGGCGGTGGAAACCAGTCGAAGCCGTGAAGAAGTCGTCCCAGGCCGAGGAGGAGCATCGACTGCCCGAGCTGCGCACCGGGGCACGCGCGCTTGCCGGAGCCAAATGGAATGACGCGGTACTCGGAGTCGCGGAGGTGGACTTTGTCCTCGGGCCTGAGGAACCTCTCGGGCCGGAACTCGTCGACGTTGTCCCACACCGCGGCGTTTCTTCCCAGACCGTGAGTGTTGATGAGGATGAGCGAGCCTTTGGGGACGTGGTAGCCGGCAACTTTGGTGTCCCGGATCGACTCGTGAGGTATGAGGAAGCCGCCAACCGGGTGAATCCTGAAAGTTTCCTTGACCGCTGCTCTCAGGTAGTCGAGGCTCGCCAGGTCCGACTCTTCCAGCAAGTGCTTGTTGGTGGCCTTCTTTTGCAGCACCGAGTCTAGCTCCGCCTGCACTTTCCGCATGACTTTCGGGTTCCGGATCATCTCGAGCATAAACCACTCCATAGTGAAGGACGCGGTATCGGTGCCCCCCACGACCATATCCTGCGAGAAAGCTTTACTGCCTTGTAATACGAAAGAACAAAGAAAAAACTCTTTTTTACCTGTATCAGTGCTTTGATCTCCACGTCGTTGAGATGCAGCTCGCTGTTCTCACCAGCCAGGCCGAGAAGAACGTCCACAAAGTCCTTAGGACCGTCGACCACTTCACCATTTCGCTGCCTCTTCCGGTGCTCCTCGACAATGTAGCTATAGTAGTCGTCCATTCGCGTCCCCATCTTCTTAAACAGGCGCCTGTAACCGTTGGGATCAATCCACTTGAGGAGAGGTACGTGATCCGGAATGTAGAAAACTCCATGCAGGACAATCGCCGCGTGTATGAGCTCCCGAAAATCGGTGGCCTCCTTCTCACCCATGGACTCGGTTCCAAAGTACCTCTTTCCAATCAGCATCCTGGTCACCACGTTCATGGTGTAGCCTCCCAAGTGCTCCCTCATGTTGATGGTGTTCTCAGCCTTGGCCTCCTTGAACATAATCTGTACCAGGTCGCGAGCTTCCTCCGCCCTGCTCTTCTGGAAGCCTTCCATCCTTCGCGTTGTCAGCAAGTGCTCCACGCAAATCCTCCTCATCAGCTTCCAGTGAGCATCATAAGGAGCCAGCCCGACGTTCTGGTCGTGGTAAGCCATGAGCTTTCCGGCAGTAGTTCTCGGCCGAGACGCGAAAGTTTCGTCCTGAGTCCACAGCAGCTCCCGGATCATCTGAGGCGAGCTAGCGGTGATGGTCGGAGTGGAGCCAAGCCTGCAGTAGACGAGAGGTCCATACTTTTGGCACCAGCCAGCCATTGTCCTGTGTGGAAGGGGACCGAGCTGCATTAAGTTCCCGATGATCGGCCAGCCGGGAGGACCTGGCGGCAAATTCCTGTTCTCTTTTCTTCCCAGCATCACCGATACAACACAGACCAGCGCTGCCGCAACCATGCACGCAGCGTTCCATCCCTGTGCCGAGCTCAGGAAATCCACCACCGTGCTCATGACTGACTTGAAAACTCAAAAAAACCGAAGTTACCTCCTTGTTCGCTCGATGACTCGAGTACGTAATGCCCGAAAAATTCTAGCCTCGATCCTCCACCATGAGGAGGGAGCTTCCCTGCAAGCTGGAACCGCGATTAATAGCAGCGATTGATTTCCAACGAACTGACTGCCTGGGAAAATTTATAAGCATTGAAAGACTTAGCTGCTGGACGGAGGATGGCGAAAAGAGTGTGACTGGGCCGCAAGAGCGTGTCGCATTATGCCCATGGCGCTGACTTAAAGCTAATGGCAAAAGCCAAAGGGCCTGGAGAAAGAAACACGAGAGAAAGAAACGATGGATTAGCTCAACTGTAAGTCCAAAGTCCATGGCATCGCATCGCGCACACAAATTTGGCGCTGGAAAACGAGGGCGGCATCACCGGCAGCGCACTTGCGAGGACCAAATCTTTTTACACAAATTTGCACACACACTGGAAGTATGAGCGCTTACCCCTGCACTTGATCTGTACATTTGATCGCCGCGAGCGATCGTGCTTCCGCGGATTTTGGAGCCGCGCCAAGAAAATCCTTTGGTCATCGCAGAGATTCGCGTGGAAAAATTTCTCCAGCATTAGGGCAAATTGGAGCTGTCGATCGTCGATTACACCGACGGACGAGATGGAACTACCCGTTGGAAAGTGCCCTAACACGTGGCATTGTGGCATTTGATAGACGACCACTTCCCGCTTAGAATTCGGGCGTCTATCCATCAGGGTTTTCTTCGAGCGGCAATCGTCTTCCAGGTTTCTCTCTCTCTTATCTCGCTCGCTCGATCGACTCGTCTCGCGGTTTTGTAAATCCCTTGCGTCGGGGCCAGGATCGAGAGAATGGGGGGCCAGACGACCGAAATCTACTACTCCGAGCGCTACAACGACGATGTCTACGAGTACAGGTAACCCTAGCGCTTCTTCCATTCCAGTATCGCGCCATGCTCTCTTTCCAGGCACGTAGTGCTCCCTCCAGACATCGCAAAGAATCTCCCGAAAAACAAACTCCTGACAGAGGTATGCAACCACCGTGATCGATCCATTCCTTATTCAAGCTTTTCGTTGCTTTTCCAGGAGCAGTGGCGTGCTCTTGGCGTCCAGCAATCCCGGGGATGGGTACATTACGCCATCCACAGGCCCGAGCCTCACATCATGCTCTTCAAGAGGCCTCTCGATCTCCAGCAAAACCAGAACCTCCAGCAGCAGCAGCAGCTGCCACGAATCAACAAGCTCCGAGCAGGATAAAAGTCGTAAGAAAGTTTCTTTTTCCAAGACTTCCAAGTCGAATTTTTCCCGTTTTGTTTTGGGTTTTCTAGATCAAGATGGAACTGTTCCTCTCGTTCCTATGACAACTATGACGCTACTCAAGAATAAGATGATGCGAAGTGGTTCTCTACTACCTTCAAGCACGTTAGCTGGTTCTTCAATCATGTTAGCTGGTTCTTCAAGCATGCAGAAGCTAGTTCTTAACAAGCTCTACTAATATTATTACTTCCACGCAGATAAGTCATATAAGACTCAGGACTTCACACATCTAATCCACCTTGACAAGACGCATGTACTTCTTCCCGGAAGGAAGATCGACCGTCTTGTATCCCTGGGGGAACATCTTCTTGGCCTCCTCGTCGGAAACCGAGGGGGAGATGACGACGTGATCGCCGGGCTTCCAGTTAACGGGGCAGGCAATCTTGTGCTTGGAGGAGAGCTGCAGCGCATCCAGCACGCGGATCACCTCGTCAAAGTTGCGTCCAACCGAGGCAGGATACATGAAGCTCACCCTGATCTGCAAGAGAGAGAAGAGACAACGCATGAAACGAAGACGATGAGAAGCGAAAGCATGCAAAGGATCCTACCCGACAGTCAGGACCGACGATGTGAAGAGCCCTCGAAGCAACCGGCTGGCCCGAGGAATCTTTCTCGTCCGGATCGAGCATGTTGAGCTTCCTGGAGATCTCCCGGGTCGGATCGGCCATGATGGGGTACTTGACGCAAGCTCCAGTCTAGTTCCCGGAGTCACAGAGAAAACAGATGGAAGGTATAGGTATAAGATCACTGCACTGCAGCGAGAGTTGGAAGACGCGCACCGTGTAAGCTTCGACATCCTTGGTCCAGGCCTTGTGCTCCTCGACGGTATCACAGGAGAGGCCCAGCAGCTTGGCTCCTCGCTTCTCGATCTCGGGCTGGTACTTGGCGACGCTCCCGAGCTCGGTGGTGCAAACCGGAGTGAAGTCAGCTGAAAGAAGGGGAAGCAAAATGCTTCTTTTTTTTGCCTTCTTGGAACAAGAACGTTCTTACCGGGATGAGAGAAGACGAGCGTCCAGTTGTTCTTGCAAAACTCGTGAAGATTTATGGGGCCGTGAGTAGAGTCGGCGTGGATGTCCGGAATCTCATCTCCAATCGAAATGCCTGGCATCTTGTCTCTAGCTTATGCTGCTCTCTCGCGATTATCAAGCCAACAAAACAAACTCCAAAACCCAAATTTCCTTGAGAAAGCTTTTGTTCTTGTAAGCATATATAAGATGCTACTTGGCCGACACCTTTCCTGTTCCATGCACTCAATCACCGTAAGCCACGTGGCCTACATTCTTGAGCTACTACAGGTACTGATGGATGATAAGCGGCAACTTAATTTAGTTTGTAATAATTATATCTAAAGGTGGACTAAGTTTTTCAATTTCTTTAGTATTCTTATTGTATGTTTGAGAAAGCCTGTTTGAGAAAACTTAATGCACTATTAATTTTTTTATGACATAAAACAAGTTTGTAGTTTTAAGATGAATAAATATCAATTTTCTTTTGAATACATTAAATATTTTCTACTTAAATTTTAAAAAACAAATTTATAAATTTATTAGAAGTTCCTCAAAGAAGGATGACCTAAAAACTAGTTATTGAATATATAGGTAGTTATTTCATATGTAAATTTTTTTTTTTCAATAATGTAATATTATATTCTTAAAAATTACTCCAACTTTAAACTTAATTTTTCAAATAACAAACATAAAGATTAGATTTAAAATTTCATTTTACCTCATAAGTTTAGTAGAGTAACGTAGTATTGTGATAACATTTTTTATTCTTTAATAAATATATAGTTTTATAATTTTCATTTTATATTATTATATATTTTCCAAGAGCAATTAAATTCTAAGGTAATCTCTCTCTTTAATCTTAACCTTTTTCAAAAAATTAAAAAGGTTATAAAATTATCCTTCACATTTAAATAATAGTTATAAAAATATTATTTAATAACTTAGCTAATCAATTATTCATCAATAGCTATTTAAAAATATTCAATAGATATAATTTTAAATAAAATTATCTTTCAGAAGATGACTTAAGTTTGATGATAATTTTGACCAAATTTCTAATGAAAATTATATAATTATACCACTTAAATATAGAATTCATTAATAAATTTAATGATAATAATAGCTATATTTATATTATTTAAACATTATTGTAGTATTCTTCAAACTTTTTCAACTTTCATTTATATTAACCTTTAAAGACTGATATTTATCTGTTAAGTGAAAAAAAATATATGTTTTGAAAAATATGAATGTGTTAAATACCTACTCAACTGTTTAATTAAATATACTATATATTACTATTTTCACGGGCTTAGATTACTCCATAAAAGCTAGTCAGAATAATTTACATAACTATTACCTTTAGAATGCATTCAATGCACTTAGATTGAGCTAGTTCATTTTGGGTAGTAACTCAAACTTTTAATTATTCTTTCTACTGTGCTCTTAATAATTTATATATAACTAATTTTGTATACTTATTTTTTGAAAAAATATGTTTTCGAAACATTTATTTCATTGTAGATTTAAAATCCTAAATGTCTAGCATACTTAAAAAATAAATATTAAATTGAAAAATATAACTTAAATAAATTTCTTTTAAAAATATTTACAATCATTTATATTAATGAAGAGACTAATATTTATAATGGTATATGAGGTCTAAATATATGGTATGATACTATATTATAATATTAATGGGATTTTGATAGCCATTAGATTAATTTTAATCCAAACCATTCACTCTTTTATATAAATTACAGTTTTTAGGGTAGTTAAATAAATATACTTTTGTATTTTATTTTTATATTCCATATTTTAAGTTTAACTGTCTTTGAGGAGTGCTTGGATTTATTATTTTAGTTTAGATCTAGCTTTTGCATCATTTAAGTCTCTCTTATTCTTATAGCATTTTTAATTTCTTCTCTTTTGATTTTCTTTTTTTAATTCATCTTCATGGTAAAATAATAGCCTCCTCCTTTTTTGACTTGGAGTGACAATTGGTGCTATTACTCAATACTATTGCAACTAAATAATTAACCTTAATTAATAATATTATTCATAGCATATGATGCAACTCTTTCCGCTTTTGCTATCAACTTTCATGTCCAGCTAGAGTTCTTCCTTAGCAGTCCTAGATACCATTGGTTCAATCACTTTTATGGTAATTGCCACATATCATTTTTGGGATAATATTTAGCATTTGATTAAGTTTCCACATGTTTCTAAAGAATGATGTTATAATGGTATAATGGTATGAGCATGGCCAATCGTGTAAATTAAAGCCTTCTCCCATATGTCTTCAAATGTGCATTTAGATATGTTAATGATTGTGATTATGTCTTCTAAAAATTGCATTGTCTCCATCAAGGGCATTTGAATTTATTATGCAATTTAGCATTCACTTTTGAAGCTTATATAGAGCTAAATATATCAAAGTAGATAAAATTTTATAGCTAATACTCCATTAATATCTTGTAAGATTTCTGTATACACTTGCTATAACCACTCTTGATAACACTTTCTAATTGGCATAATGCTATGAGACATCACTTCTCCCACTTATCGATACTCATACTTTACTTCTACTTCTTATGGGAAATAATTCTATTTTAATGGAGATTAATATTATTATTATTGCCCATGTTCAAGAACAAGGGTGAAAACATAGTCATGGTAATGATGATGTTAAGTAATTATCTATATATATCAACATTATTGGCATTTTCCAAATTGGCATCCTTAATTTTTTTGGTGGAAACTTGGGCATCAACAACATCTTATTAGTGTTGATGTAATGGAAGGTTTTAACATTGAGATATTTTTGGGAAACAAAAAGCTACACAAGTAATGAAGGGTCCTTATATAAGTACATTAGTGACCTCTTTATCTTTTTTCAGGAGTACTCTCAAGGGGTTCATTTAGCATCAGTTCATTTAGTGTTTACTTTTCAAACTTGTTTTTATAATAAAAAAGTCTCTTATTATTCTCTTCATGTTAAATTAGAGTTTATTTTTTATATTTATTAATGTTTATAGTTGTATTCTGTAGTTCTTTATAGCAATGGTTATACATATGCATATATACAAGATGAAGCAGACCTATTTATAAGTATTGGTGATGTTGAGGTTAAGTTTTAATTATTGTGGGTAATGATAAGTTAAGCTTTTGACTTTATCTTTAGTATATATTAATTGCAATGTCATTATGCTAAATATGACTTTAAAGCTTTTCCCCTTTATCTTATATTTTTTCATCTTTTTTCCATTCTTCTTACTTCTATTTTACTGTCTCTCTACTTTTATCACTTTTGTCTACCCATTAATTTCTATTATATTCCTATTTTACTCCTCTATTCCCTTTTAAAATTCTTCTGACAGTTTTTATGTTGGAGTAATTGACTAACTCAAAAAGGTGTATGCTAATCTCTTCAATTGTGACTTGTCGTTTGGGGCCAAAATTACATTGCATCATCATATTTCAATTGGGGATGTTTATCCAATCAAAGTTTTTGTTTAGCATTAGTCACCAAAGGAGACTAAAATTTCATATGGTTACATCAAAGAGATGTTAAAGAAAGGTGTTATCAAAAATTCTCAGAGTCCTTAAATATATTAACCTCATCATATGACAAATCATAGGAGTATTTGATTTTGCTTTAACTATCATTTATTAAACAAAGTGACTATTCTAGATATATATCTTCTTCCCTACACAACTAATCTTTTGAATCATTTGAAGATAAATTATTGAATCACTAAGTTAAATCTTGCTTCTAGATACTAATAAATACTGATGTTCGAGAAAGACATTCCCAATATTGACTATTTGATTTATATAAATTTTTGTTAATGCTGTTTAGTTTGAAGAGTACTTCAATAATTTTTTAGTGTTTGATAGATGATTTTTTTTGTGATATACTTGAGGTGACTATTGATTTTATGATGCGTGTTTAGATCCAAGGATATAACTTATTTTTGATACTATATTTCACGAACAAAGTGTTGGATTGGTTGAAGGAAGTTGGTTTAAACTTAAAACACATGAAGTGCATAAAAAACATAATTTATCTTAGGTATTGCATTTTTCATAAATGTTTAATAGTTGATTTTAATAAACTGATGGTTATTTTGAAGTTCCTCTTCTAAAGTGTGCATCAAAGAGTTGTTAATAACTCATTTAATATATCCTGATTATATTTGACTTTTCATTTTGTATGTGAATGTTTTTTTTATCAGTTTTGAGGGTGTTAATGCAAAAGAGCATAACTGTGTTTGGTTTGTTCATTATGAAAGATGTACTCATGAATGCCCTAATAAGTATAATTTCTATTTTAAGAGTACAAATATACCTTACTCAAGGATATATTAAATTTTAAATTCAAACTTGTGCCATTTACTTCTCATTTTTATATTCTATTCCATGCATGCTTAAATACATACACTCTCACATGCTTAGATGGTTAGATGCTAGATCATCAAAGAAATGGTCCAAAAGTGGAAAAAGATGAGGCATTGTTGTAACGGTCCTTCTGTGACTCCTCTGTGAAGCTAGAGCCACCTATTATGCCTTAGCAAACATGCCACCCTTCATGTTGGATTACAAGAGAATATTTGCCTATGAAGAAAACCATGGTTTCCCATATATTCTCAATATTCCAGACCAACTCCACCATTCGGGCCCTGTCCTGGTGGCGCTGGCAATGGCCGAGCAGCCGCGCACTAATTCTAGGAATGCCTGCCTGCCTGTAAACCAAGAAATAAAAGTCGTGTACGTCGCCTTCATTCGTCCTCTCTATCGCGATTGGGGCATGTGGCTGAGCTACCATACTCTCCCTTTCCATGCAACGAAAATGCTTCCAAAAGAAGAAAAAGCTCTTTCTCATGACTATAAGTTAAGGGTGGGCTTTCAACAGTATTGGAGTGTAACCGCATGATGAAGATCAATCTGCTCATAAATCCTTCATAATTTTGAGCCTCTCACAGTCCTCCCACAACCATAAAAGACCATTCATCAATACATTTTTTAAATGATTACACACCACTATGTCAGTCAGAACTAGGAACAAATGCTGATCTTGGAAATACAAGGTGGTCAGTAAGCATTGTTCCTCTCAACCTTGTGAGAACGTTCCCTAAACGCTTCCAGTATCTTGTTCAGAGTTGACAGCGCTACGTACTAGCAAGGATTTCATTGAAGTTTTTGCTGGAACAAGAAAATGGGCACTTATTGGTCGTGCGGGTGAGTGGAAAGCGGAGAAACCACATTCTCGCATTCTTTCTCCAGAGTAGCAATGTGTTCCTCGAAGACAGCTAATGGAGCAGGATCCAGTTTGACTGAAACGTAGAAGCCATCAACGTTACCATTGGCATCGAAGGGAAAGAAGATGATGGCGCTGTTCCTGTTGTCGAGCGGGAACTCCACCCTGGCTGGCTTACCCCATCCCAGGTCCAGTTCCACTGCTTTGGACATGAGACGGGGCCAGGCATTAATCTGAGTCTGGGATTTGCCTGGTACATACCAGTGATCAGGATGAAGCTCCAGGTAGTCGATGGCCGACCTCATGTACTCGTCCGTCAGCATCTTTCGGGCCTCCTGAATACAGAGCACGATGTGAGAAAGTGGGAGGTTGCACATATCTTCCCATGTCATCTCTGCGACTACACCGAATTGTCCATTTCCACTGAAGTTGCTCCCCAGGGGTGGCTGCAAGATGTTCCTGGTGTCCATGACAAAGTGGAGTTTGAGCAGCGTCTCGGCTGATGAAGAGCTCTCCAGGGCCCTGGCATGAGCTCGCCACACAAGCGCTGCTAGGGCCTCGAACGAGGAGCAGCGAGAGACGAGGCCGTCGTGGGTGACGACCTTCTTGAGCTCGTTGAGGCGATGGAAGCTGAAGTGATACGTCTTGCGCGTCTTCCTGGGGGCCTCACACCGGGACTTCTCCGCTGCGAGGATGGAGTCAGGGGTGATGGCGAAACGACTGCCCCCAACGTTGGTGAACTGCCGGTGCTCGAAGTCTACCTTGGGAGGATCCCTGGCCCGGAGTTGGGTCCGGTCAAAGTTGGGTGCTAGGTAGAGACAATCTCCCCGGCTGATGGACGCGAGGTTGAGCAGGAAGAAAATCCCAGAGGTTGCATCGTCGAGCAAATGATGGTTGAGGATGGCAATCGCGAAGCCGTTGTCCCCGCCGAGGTGAGTCACCTGCACGGTCAGCAGCGGGAGATCTTCCAAGGAGCGAGCTTCAGCAGGCGAGAGGAAAAGGTCGTCGAAGTCATCTACCGAGACGTCGTGGATGGAGAGGTGGGAGGTAGCGTATGCAAGGAGACTCCCGGCTGAGTTGCAATCAATCTCCAGTCTGTTGGTCACGGGGTTGACGACGGCGCGGCCAGCGTGGCCCGGATAGGCGACCAGCAGCTTGCTCAGAGCTTTGCGGAGGTGCTCCACGACTGCTTGAGTACCTGGATTGTCACGAAAGAAGAAGAGGTTCCTGCTGAAGTAACCATGCGTCCGGTCGATGTTGCTGAGGAAGATGGTACTGCGATTCAGGGGTTGGCTTGGGCGAACCACAAAGATCTCACGAACGCTCACTTTGGAGCTCCCTCTGCTGGGGGAGACGACGGAAGCAGCCATTGCCATTGCCCCAGCGGCGGGAGTGCAATTTCAAAAGTAGGTCCTGGCACATAGTAAAGGTGGTCGCCAGTGCTTTTACTTCTTGCAGAGATGACAATGAGAGCCATGTGGCGTGGCTCTGGCTGACATCACGATCGACGCAAAAGCTCTCCTCCACCAGCTGCAAGCGTGGAGGATGAACTAATTGATCTTGCCCGATGTCCATCCGTTGGGCGATCTCCAGCGCCGCCGCGAGCGCGCGCCTGCAATTGCATTCCACTTCCTGTCCGGCATGGTGTGGAAGACGAGCTCCGCTGCGGCATACGCGACCACGTCATGATATCCCATGCTATATCCCATATCAGTGTCCGTGACACCACGTCTGGGGCGGGCATTCGCTGGAACAGATACCCGGACTGGGCATAGGCCGAAATCATCGTGTTCCACAACACTTCGTTCCCCTCGGGCATTCGATCGAACAGTCCCGGGGCTTCCTCCAGTTGCTTGCTCTGCGTGTACGCGGCCACCATCCCCGTCTACGACACCACGTCTCGCTCCGCACTCGGACAGGCTCCGGCACGATATCAGGCGCTTGGATGCCGCTTGAGCCACGAGCTCGTCGGGAATCGATGATCGCTTGATCCAAGTTGGCCGGTGCATTGTTGCGATTCACTCCGACCTTGAGATCTAGATGAAAGCTCTTATCAGCCGATAAAGGACTACACTTGGAAGATTGAACCGCGCTAAAATCTCTCACCAACTTAGATGTTTCAAGCTTGTTGGGGAGCGCTGCTGAATTGTGACCACTTGATCCAAGTTGGCTGGTCCCATACTACTATTCACTCCAGACCGCTTGACTTGGAAAATCTAGACAAATCCCGTGAGCTCTTATCCGGCTTGAAAGCACTAGTACGCTTGGAAGATTGAATGATTCGTAACGAGGATAAGTTTTCTTCCAGCTTTGATGTTTCAACGCGCTTGAAAGTGCAGCCGTTGACTTCGTTTTCTTTGAGCATCGTGAAGTCATGGTAGGAATCATTCTAAATTGGAGCGTTCATCTTTGATTATCCAAGATTAGGGCGCCTTGAGGAAGAACCCTAAATTAACGGCTCTTCGGACGTCACGCCAAGTTCTTGAATCCGACTTGGAAAAATTAGAATTTTTTGAGCATCGTGGCTATGGATGGATGTATCACTGGAACATGAAAGAATAAGTTGGTTTGAATAAGAAGTAGCGGCCATGTCTCTCTTGCTGGGTTTGTTTGTACTCGTCTTTCTCACAACATCTCAGCCAAGTCTTTCTCGTTGAACTTCGTCCATACATCGAACGCAATCCTCCCCACTTCCACGTTCTTCCACTTGCGGCAGACGCTCCTACAAACCACAGCGTTCGCTCTCCGGGCCGCTCTCAAAGGCATGCTCTCGAGGACTTTTACGGCCTCTTCCAGTCGGCCTGCACGGCCGAAGAGATGCTGTAGTGATGACTCCCTCGAACAATGCCAGAGTCCGGGTCTATTGCCTGGAAAAACTCCCTGCCTCGTTCAACCAGACAGCCGTGGCTGCAAGCAGTGATGACCGAGACAAACGTGATCGCGTTTGCTCACACGCCATCTTCCCACATCTAGCGAAAGGCTTCGACCACGCGTTATAGAGTCCATGATATCACTCATAACTCCGCTCTTCCCTTAGAAGTTTACTAGGCACGTCCCAACAACTTGGTCGTCTTCCAGCCCATGCTTGTAAAGCTCAGTCTGGATGCTTCCAGCTTCACTGGACCCAATGTTCCCACATTTGAAAACTGCTCGAGCGTTCACCACATCTCCATACTTGGCATACATGTCCACCAAGCTACTCCCCAGACATATCTGTGCTTAAGATTTCGCAGCATGAATCTCCATCCCCTTCTAGGCTTTGGATTCTAGTTAGCTAGGGGCATGATTAAGGTTTCAGTTTTAATCATGTCTCATTCTCCTACAACGAATGATACAATTTAGTTATAAATTATGTAAAAGAATATTTGGAGTGGTGTTGGTAGCACATTACTCAAGTTAACTTTTGATCCATCTCTCGTTAATGAATGGAAGCAACAAGATTACAAAACATTAGGAATTATTAGACGAGCACTCTAAGGAGTAATTAAGCTACTTTTAAGATGCTGTCAATCAAATTATTGCAATTAAAAGTACCAAGATTGATGACAACAATAGTATTGCTAATCACTTTAAAGTAGTTGTTGTTCAAATGGGATTTGATAAGACTTCTAAAGAGATAGTTTATCACTTTCTTGGAAGAAAATATCCAAAAATATTACTCTAGTTACAAAAGGTTTTGTGTGGTCTCATCTTGGAAAGTGTGTGTTTAAAGAAATTGATCGTGATCATCAATTTAATGATGCACATCAAGAGTAATAGTCCACGCAATGTACTAATAGCAATAAGAAATTCAAATGCAATTATTGTCAGAAGCTTAGATATTTTGCAAAAGATTGTCACAAAAAGAAGGCTACTCTCGAAGTAAAAGCTAAACAAAAAAGTAAAGAGATTGCATTTATGATGGAGATTGTTAACTACCAAGGGAAGTCAATTCTTTGGCTTAACTATGTTACACTATGTTACATCTAACCACATCACACAGCTATTGTCAACTTTATTTTCTTTGAGAAATCATCATGATAAGATGATTTAAACTATTAGAACACAAATAGCTTTTGAAAACATTGCTATTACTGACCACACCTTACTTTTTTATGATCAACTTGTGAAATAAGGTTGCATTTTATTATAAAACAACAAAGGTTGTTTTATTTTCCAGTATTTGCTATTATTTTCAACCCATCACCTAACCCATCACCTAGAGAACTTTAATTGCCTTCTATGAAGTGGAGGTTTAAGTGTATGGCTATAATACCATATACTAATATTAACATTAGGATTTTGATAACCATTGAATATTTTTTGAACCCCTTATATAAGTTAGAGTTTTTGAGCTAATTAAATATGTATATTTTTATATTTCATTTCTATATTCCATACACTCATACATAGAATTATTAACTTTATATTTTTTTTATTTTTATTGATTGTATGCATATTGATTATAGAATGGAAAACATCTAAGATAAAAAATTTACCTATAAAGTTGAGTGATTGGGATGTTAATTTTTTAACAATAAATAAAAATTAAATATAGAGAACTTTTGATAAAGATCATATATTGAAAATTTCATAATGTTTAATCAAAAAATACAAAAAAAGTTTAATTAAAAAATGCATGAAGACAGATTACCATCATAAATGCACATGTGGTTAGTTTTATAAAAGACCCCCTTTTGCAAGAGCTGATTAAATTAATTTTAATAAAGAAAAAAATTATTTTCTATTTTATTTTCATAGTTTTAACAGATTACATTATCAATTTTTAGAATTTTTTTTATATTTTAAACAACTTAATGGTTTTCCTTATTAAGTTTTCACTTAAGAGAGTAACTGATTAACAATTTAAGCTTTACTTAAAAATTACTGAGAGTCTTTAGGATTTTATATTAAGCCATATTAACATTCTCCTATTAACATAAAACATAGAAATGTTTCATACATCCCCTAGCACTAGAATTATGCAGCAAAAAGGGAAAAGAAGAATGTGGGTGATAGTGGGGCATAATCTTTAGAAGCACAATAAAAAGCAGAAGCAATCTAAGCATTCGTCCTCCACTTTATTTATAGAGAATCCTCGGCTATGAGAACCAAACTGGCTGACTTTACTCTTACGTGCATACTTGATCTTCTTCCTTTTTTCTTTTCTTCTTCTTTACATATATTTTTACAAGTTTTTTCAAAGCTGGTTATCAAAGATGCAAGGACGTGTCCACCTCCTCGTCGTCATCAATCGGTATGCTTCTCTTTGCAGTTTTCCAATTCTTGAGGAGGACTGGCCGGTACGGCTGCTGTACAAGATCACGAGGCAGCAGCGAGGGCGACGAATTTGAAGCTGGGAGCTCGGATTGATCCGAGAACTTGTCCTGTGCCGGATTATCAAGCAGTGACAAGAGAACCGTTTTGCTGCTCTTGGCACCGACAGGATCCTTCTCTGGATTGATGGTCTCGAAAAACGGAGCTGGAGTGTCGGGATGAACAGGAAAGACCATGGAACTAGAGGTGGTGGTGTTTCTCATGAGATTGTGATGAGGATTGCAAGAGGTTGACATGGAAGAGGATGAAGATGGAGGAGGAGGAAAGGTAGAACACGGGGATGTGAAACTTGGCCGAGGCTGGATGATCACTTCATGGTTGGAGTTGTATAACTGCTTGGTCTGTCTCATCTCCTTGTCCCTCTCGAGACGTTGGAACCTTTGCTGGAGCAAAGCGATGGTGGGATGGTGTTCGTGGCGCTGCTCCTGGAAGTATTCCGGAATTGGAGCTCCTTGCTGCGAGTAGCGGTTGTTTTGCTGCTGCTGGACACCTGAAAGTTTGTGGATCGATGAGTCCTCCAAACTCTCGACTAAGTGATCTTTCTTCTTACCATGGAGGCGTACGTAGCTCAGGAGTTGCAATTGGAGAGTGTTTTGGATCCTCCTCGCTGCATCCTCATCGAACAGGGTTGGATCCTCGAAGAAGTGCCGCTGCCGCTGCTGCTGCTGCTGCTGCCGCTGGTGTTGCAGACGATCGTGATGATCCTGCCTTGCTTCGAACTGGAATGGAGTCGTGGGACTCGCCAGTGGCTTGAAGTCTCCACCGCTGGCTCCTCCCCCTCCTTCCTCGTCTTTAAATTTGACGAAGAAATCCTTTGGTTTTGCAACCTCTGCTTCACAAGTTCTTCCAGCGTGAGAGGTGGAGATTCCTATCACAACTTACTCAGATTTTCGCTGCGCTCGATCTGCATAGCTCCCCGCTCGCGCTCGTTCAAGACGCTAATATCAACACGCAAGCAAAGCACACTAGAGAGAAAAGAAAAAGAAAGCTTCTTTCATAGACTACAAGTTGCATGCTCTGGAACTCGCAAACCAGACGCGGACACACACTTAGGCAAATTCTCTATTTTAATCGAAGAAAAGACTCTATACCCCAATGATCATTTTCCAAAGAACCCCCAACCAAACCATCTCCAAGATAGAAAGCGTGCTCCCTTGAGCCACATTTCACTTTAAAAAGCCTGGGTATATTCCAGCGTTTTCTCCCTTGGTTCCTTTCCCTTGTCGTTTGCCACCCCGGGAAGAATCTAGCCACTGGTTTCCACTGGCGCCCACTCATCCGGGCCGTCCACTCCCACTCTTCGTCTCCATGCAAAACTTCGCCAGTGTGGAGCCACGAGCAAACCAACAACAAAGCGCTCGAGAAGGAGCACAAGAAGGGAATCTCACGGAAGAGCGATGGCGTCGCTGTTTCCTTCCCTTATAATAATGCTCGCTCTTCCCCGGATCGATCAATCTGTAGCGAACAAAAAAAAAAGAAGAGAAAGTGTAAGAATCATAAAAAGTTGGAATGCCAATGCCCACCATAAAATCACCGCAGCCTTGCTCCATTGTCTCGTTGCTCACGGCTACATTGTCTCCTTCCTTCATCTCTCTGTCGCTAGCACTTGTCCCCGCCTGACACAGGTAAATTCTGCAAATCTGTGTCGATGTCACGAGAACGCCATCAAGAGCGTTACAGTCCCTCTTCTGCTTTTTTTTCTCCTCCTTGTTGATGCTACGCCGCCTGTGGCGTTGTCCTAACTTGGAAACTCTTTCACCACTATGAACAAGTCTTCTCGAGCAGAGCCACCGGCGACTTTGAGTGTCATTACTGCGAGCATGACACATTAGAAACACGACGATACCTTCCCCCTTCATTCATAGACAAATTGAAAAAAAACCCGTGGACGATATCCTCTGAAAGGAAGGATCCTCACGGCTGACGAGCTGATGGTCAAAGTTCAAACGAGAAATAGACACGCTGGAAGCGAAACTTCGTCAGAGAGAAAATAGCACCTCTTCATGAAACGCTTACCTCAACCTCATCGTTATCTGATTCTGTGCCTGATGTTGGTCTTACACATGCAATCTGGAGCCGGATAAGTGTAGATTGACTGCTTTGGCTGCCGCAGCCGGACCTGTCCAAGTCTGTTGCGGTGTCCATTGTAAACACGGTTTTGGAACTCCGGCCACTCCATGCTAGAGTTCGAGAACAAACGCGAGAGGAGCACCATATCAGGTCTCAAAGTCTTTTGCACGTTTTGATAGGTCCTGTGTCCAATCTGAAACAAAATGACTCAGATCAGCAGAATGCACCTTAGAAACAACGAAAACTATGCTCACCACCGCGTTGTGCATGTTGCCCGGCGAAGCAGAAAGGAAAAAATCACTCTTCAAGCATACATAGTAGTCGAGAGCAGCCGAGAGCGAAGCCTTCCGCTCGAAAGGTCTTAGCTCATCGTCTATAGCGACGCTGGCCTTGTCTTGCATCAGCGGAAATATGTTCTTCAAGAAGGACAACCTTGCCTCGCCACCATAAATCTGCAAGACGTAATTGAGGGGCACACTCACATCGTCGATTCATTTTACCTGGTGCGATGCTAGATAGACACGAGTGTGTGGGCCAAATCCAAGTGCAGCCAAAGTAAGGCCCGCTTCTTCAGGAGTAAGCGGGCATTTCCCAAGAAGCCGCAACTGCTGTACTGTAAGTCGAGAATTTGGAACTCTCCCTTGCCAGACCTTGTGCCGGTAGTAGGCCAAAGCTAACTGCTCGACTCTTCCGCCACCAAAATCACATGCCGAGTGCGCTGCCATGTCCTATCATAGTCATCACCAGAAAACAAAGGTCCAATACATTACAACTCGGCGAGAAGATGAAACTAATCGCTGTCATACCTTGTCAAATCGTAAATGGAGGGCAACGAACTTGGATGGCGGGCTATCATTTTGCGCTTGTCGAAGACGGCTCACAATCACATCACCAACGGAAGTGATTGCTTTCACGAACCGCAAAGCATGAAAATTCACTTTGCAGCGAAGCTTCTGTATCTCCGGAGGAACCTCACCAAAAGCCAGGCGATGAGAAAAGGGTGCTATAGCTGCAACTCCATAACTACACAACTCCATCAGCGCAGCACCGCAATTAACAAGCAAGAAAGCGTTGACAGTACCTCTGCAAGATGGGCAAAACATTTGCCACGTACCAGCTGGGCCGAGCATGGACTGGCGCATCCTTGACTCTCGTTGCTCGAAAGCCCGTGGCGTAATACTCCCGTGTGCTCCAATAAAACTCACTCGGTAGGCCCTTCACAATCTTGACATCAGCGGCCAGATAATCGATAAAGTAATCCACATCATATATGTCTGCAAAAGAGCTACACGAAACATAAGCCTAGCGCACGAACACTCGTGTAGATAAAATCGCACACGCCTACCTGCTATCCTGCCAGACGGGATTCACGTCGAGGTGGGGTACGACAAGCGTGGCGTTCAAAATCTTCGCTACAGCAACCGCATCACACACCTGAAAAAGACGCCACAGCCTCTTTAGTCCACAATCCAGAGCTAAGAAAGATACGGTGAAGTAGAGACGCACACCCATTCTTTGCTGGTTCAAGCCGCCCTCCAGAAAAACTTGTAGATAGAAATTCGCTGCAAGAAGACCACAAAGTCAAGAGGACTGGCCAGACCAAGTAAAAGTTCTTACAAGAAGAAATGCTTCCCACACTCTCTCGAAGGCAAGGGGCCCAACCGTCATTGTCCGGCGGATGCCACAAAAGCGCCGACTCGCCAGACCTTGAATTATTCTGTACGACGAATGGGAAAAAATAAAATAAAAATACACGAGGAGCATACAGAACAAAATACACGAGCATCGAGGAAAAAAAAAGGATGAGAAGTTGTACCATGTTTGATTCCGCCAAAGAGGCCATGAGCACAGAATGCTGGGCCGAGGGAGCCTCCCATTCCTATAAAACAAAAACAAGAAAAGCACAAGAGTCACACAGAAAGTTCCGCAAACAAGCAAGAGAAAGAAGGAATCAAAGGGAAAGCATCACGGAAATCCCATCGACTACGCACTAATAGGGAAATTATTGTAGCCCATGGATCCTGTGGCCACTATCCAGTATCAATGTGGCCAAAGAGCGATGGGAAAATCTATGAAACTCACCGAGAAGAGCGACATCCACGATGGAGACGAGTGCCGGAGCAGTAGATCGGGGCGCAGTAGCGGCAGGAGCACGACGAGAAATCCAAGACTGCGGCATAGAGCCAATCGCCTCGGGCTTCGCCCTCTCATGGCGCCCTAAACCCTAAAACCTGGGAATCCCAATAGCCAATGGCAGACAGAAATGAAATAGGAAAGCACACAAACTTTTATTTATTCTCTTCCACCCCACTGAGGAAGAAGATAGAAACAACACAAGAGCGATGATAACGATCAAGTCACTGGAGCTCGAAATGGCGTCGCTCAATCCAAGCTTGGTCATTGTCAGCTGCGCACTGATCGATATAAAATGCACCAAAATCCACACGAGAATGAAGAAAAAACAAGCCACCAAGATCTAAGAAACCCGCCAGCACAGTGCTCTAGAACCTGGCATGAAACGAGGGAGAAATCGAGCGAGAGGGCGACAGAGACGAGAAAGATGGAAGAACAGAGACGAAATGGATGCAACGACTACCAATCCGGAACTGGATTGTCGATCAATCTCTCACACCGCGACGATCAATCCGGGCATGGATGTCAACGTGAGCTCGCTTTCCCACAGCGGGTCATCCCTGGTGAAGAATCCGGCGCCCGTGACCGTGACCGAGGTGTTGAAGTACTCGCGCAGCTCCACGACCTTGCCCGACTTGATGGTGAAGACGTGAACCCAGCACGACTTGGAGGCGTCCAAGAATCCCTCGGCCAAGAACTTGTCCTGGACGAGGCAAACCCTGCTGGGGCTAAACGCGATCGATCCCAGCCGATCCGCGCCAGTGAGCATGCGCATGAGATGCTGCTCCGCCCTTGGCCCGTGGAACCACCACTCGATGTCCGCGGCCACCAGGGCCTTGACGATCTCTACATCACCCTGCGACACCGCCCGGTAGAGATTTCGCAGCACCGCGTAGCCCTCCTGCTCGCTAGCCAGATCTTTCCCCAAATTTCTCTCAATCGGAGAGGCGCTGCTCTGAGACATGCAAATGCGCGACCACGGATTAGGGGAAAGAAACAAGAACGCCGCGCGGATCGATCGGAAGGGTAATCGACGAACCGGTAGCTAGCGCGATGCGATGGATCGATGGATCTTGCCGCTTGGAACCAAGACGCGCAAAATTTCGAGCCGGATCGATCGACCGACGAATGGAGTGAAAGAAAAGGAAGAGCCGGCGGGAAACAAGAGCTTCCTGGGAGCTCTCCACGAAATCGCTGCGTCGTCACGCGCGCGACTTTATAGCGCTTTACAGAAATCGACGGCGCTAACGATGCCCGGCCAACGGGCACGATTGTCCCACGTCACATGTTTGCCGCGCAGGAATCGAACGCCCGAGGGGTGTCAAACAAATCCAACCATTACGATTAAGCTAGCGCCATGGTTGACCACGCAGTGCCGCCACCACTGACCAGTCAACGGAGAGAGCCGGGAATCGAGCCGGGAACCTCGAAGACTCTCGTCGCGTGGGCCTCGTAAATACGAGAGGAACCTTTGCACGGTGGTGCCAGATATATTCTTTCATTTGGATCTTTCTTTCCGGGACAAGAGAATGTAAGCCTCCCGTTTCCGAATCCTTCGATTCTCTTGGTGGATTGGGGAGGAGTAGAACAAATTACACGAGAGAAAGGGAAAGAGCGAAGAAAAAAACCCCCAAATCGATGGAAACACTGCCTACGCAGTGGAGCATTGCGATCAAAAAGAGCGTTGATGGAGTGGTGAAGGAGGAATCATGGGCTTCTCCCAAAATTCTTGGCGCATGAAAGAATGCTGGTGGTGGATTGGATCGATATTGATTCATATCGACTGGATCATGGTCGATGCTGATCACATTGCCAAGACGAGGCCGGGCATTGATCGCCTCGTTGCTTGGCTCTGCCACAATGTGTTGCAACTGGATGGGGCGGTGACGGTCACCGACGTGTTGAAGCACTCGTTGAGCTCCACGATCCGCGAGCTGCTCGGGTCGATCGTCCATATGTGGACCCAGCAGATCTCTTGATCCAGCGCCGACGGCGCCGCGGAGGAAGACCTCCACGAAGAACTCGACGAAGAGGAGGAAGAACTCGAGGAAGCATTGCTCGCGGAGCTAGAGCGAGGCGGAGAGGCCATTTCTCGCATGGGCGCCTGGGATTTGCCCTCGGCGAAGATCCGGTCCCCGATCATACAAATCCGGGTGGGATTGAAGGAGAAGGAGCCCGGGCGATCCGCGCCAGTGAGCATTCGCATGAGATGCTGGTGGGCGGGCGGGCCGTGGAATTGCCACTCCAGATCCTCGGTGATCATCGCGCCGACCGCCGCGGCATCGCCCACCGCAAGTGCATTGTAGAAGGAGGCGATGATTTTCTCGTTGTCGCGCATCCCCTCCATTACCCAGAAAGTAAGAGCGAGGAAGAGAAGAGAGGATCTAGAATTGGAATCTAGAAAGGCTCTGGAAAGTGGGTTTGCTTTGTGGCGACCATGGAATGGAGCCCCTGTTTATATAGCTTCCATGGCGCGGTAAAGAACAAATGGGAATTTCTTACCAGCTGTCAATAACCGCGGTAACTTTCCAGGTCTACACAAGAAAGCTGGTGACAGTAGTTCCAGAGGGACACGTGTCTGTTGTCAATCATTGCCGGAATGGGCAGCCCATCCCTGACACGTGGTCACTTTCCATTCGTTTGTAATGCTTTTTAAAACGAACGGTCGCGATCCCGCGGCTGGAGTTGCCGGACTCGGGTCAAACAGATCGATGTTAATTAAAATGCGCCCATAGTTTTCTATGATCTTCCAGCCATGGTGATGGGAAACAATGGGAAACAATCGATTTATCAAACGCTATCCTTCGATTACGACCCGGTTTCTCGAGTTTCCTCCACGAATTGAGGGAGATGCTCTCGCAGACAAGAATAGAAATCGAGCTGTCGAGCCGGCCTGCCGGAATTTCTCCGAATTTCTCGACTTTTCCATGAATTGGATGTCCCGATCTCGCGAGCAAGCAGCTCTAATCGAGCTGTCGATCCGTGCCGGGCGCGTTCGTGGGAGAGACATTGCCAATGGGGCGTGTCTCGCCCGAGCTCTCATTCATCCAATTTCGCAGAGCTTTCTGGTCTGTGGTTTGATATTAGTTTTCGTCCCAAAAACAAAGGTCTCCATGGTCTGCTCTGGTCGGTGTCTCGCATTAGAAGAAGATTGATAGAAAACATAAGCGCCGAGGCATTCAATTCGATTCAAACAACAGCGAGCGGGCGATCAATCAGTCCATTGGATCGTTGAGAGAGACCCTGCGCCGGGCGTGGGAAGCCGCCTGGCTGCCCTCCCTTTGCAAGTCAATCCCCAGTTCTCGATTTTTACCGCACCATATAAATCGCTGGACTGGACCGCGCTGCTACCCTGGATCCAGCGAGCGGCGATTTAAAGGCTGGTATGGGATGGGATGTGAACGATCGATCGACAGATATGGCAATCTAGCTCACACGGCCCGAGATCGCACAGGCGAAAAGGGGAAGCGGATGGAGTGGTGGTGGCTCACTTGCATTGACGAGCACAATCAATCCATCCTTGGGGGCCGGTTTGTTCGTCCCCAAATGATAGAGAGAAAGGGAGAGTCTGTGCGTGTGCATTCCTGGCCTCTGGGTGTCGTAAGTCTGCGCGATGTCATCAATTCTGGGAATCTGTGAGGACACAGCTAAGCGCTAGTCCAAGGAGAATGGATGCCCACCAAGAAATTTACGCGCAAAACCAGTAGCTCTGTTTTCTAGGGCTCCAGGGAAGACAAAGACCAATTTCCAGATTTTTCAAATACAAATTTTTAGGGTTCTTGATGGTTCTTGCAAATTCTCAAAGCTCTCCTTTTTATCCGACGCTCTATAGACTAATTAGAATGTGTTGATATACTCGCTACCACAAATCTCCCATTTCTCCCCAGTTCGCCCGCGCCACCGTAGTCAAATAATGTTTTGGATGCCCGATCATCGTTGTCAAAGCATTTCCTGCGAGCGTCTTACAATGCGGCTTACTTTTCTCTTGAATTCTTCTCTTCGCTCTCGCCACTCTTTCTGCCACCGAGAAAAAATAATCACATCATTCGTTAGATGATTGATCCACCAAGACTGTGCTGGGTGCACTTACCGCGGCATCGATGTTGGCTGGCGATTCATCGTTGGGGCTCGAGAGCATCGAGATTATACTCAATAGAATGGTTTCTACCTGAGAAGCACACACGACGAGTAAGAAGTTTGAGAGCTCGGGATCAAGCACGCATACCGTGTGAACCGGAGACCATCGTTCGCTCGCCAGCTCGTAGCCATTGGGATCGTCTCCAGGAGCGTGAAGGATGGAGATGCAAACACGGCCGTCCGGATAGACTGCTCGCGAGATTCACAAAGTCAGCTAGAGAAGAGTTCCATCGGTAGAGCTTGGTTACCATTTGGATGCCACATATCGGAAGTGAATCTCACACTGGGAGGACTGTTTGGATAATTCCCGGGAAAGCTCATGATCGCATTGAAATAGCCGCCTTCGCTGGACAAGAGGAAGAACAAAGAACAGGGAAAAAAAACACCACGAGAGAGAGCGTTAGATCCAATTGCACTGACAAACCACCAGGACGATCAGACATTAGGCTGGGACAAATGAATGAAAGAAAGCCACAAGACAAAAGAGAAGACGAGACAAATCTCATGCCAGGGATAAAGTTGATTCATGGTTTTATAAAAAAATCTCCCACAGCGAGAGCGCTCGGTCGATTTGCAAAGGCCTGCAATCAATCACACATGAGGATTCAATCACAATTACCCGTGCCCTACGAGCGAAAGAAGCCAAGAACAAGGAAGAAACCACGCAAAGATGAAGACACGAGGAGAGGAAGCTTTCACTTACTACAAGGTGTCCGGGGGGCCGATGATGGTCACGGCCCACTCAAACACATTGGAGTCGTCCACCAATCCCGCCGAGAAGCCATCCAGAGGATTTCTTGTCAAATCTGCCACGCCAAGATCAATCAATCCACCGGCCACCGCGAAGCAAATTCACGAAAATGCCCTCACCTTTCAACTGCTTGCGCAAGAGGAGGCTCGCTTGGCTCTCGCCCATTCCCCTGCCGCCGCCGCCGCCCCGGCCCAGCTCGATCGATCGATTGGAATCCGGCTGGAGATAGGGCTATATTACCGACAATCCAAACCCTGATCCTTGGAGCCGGGCAGCAAAGCGCATCGCATGTATGGATGCGCGCCGATCTCCCGCGATCCCCTCTCGATCGACCAAAGACGGGCGTCCTAGGGCGCCCGGGCGGAAGAAATGGGAGAAGAAAGAACACACACTGTCAAGGAAGAACAAAACACACGTACGATCGTAGGGAAGGATATTCTTGGCCTTATCGAGCTGGGGGGACGGAATATTTTCAGATCCCCGCCGTGGCGCAAGCGGAATATACTTGATGACACGTGGGAAGCGTTGGCTCCGTGGATGTAGCCCCCTACACTGCAGGCTCCAACGGTCGCGATTATTTTCCCCCTTCGTGTGGGGCGATTTACAAGGCGGGCTAGGATTGGTATATGTATGCATGTCAAAGAAGCGATCTAGAGGCGACGCTGATATATCCGATGAGGAAGAAGACCTAGGCGCCGGGAGCAGCGATCTTCTCGAGCGGCCCAGCATGGTATGTGATCGATCCGAATCCCCGAGGCCGCGCGGCGGCTCTCTAGATCGCATTGCGCTCTCTGCAAATCGATCGCTGGAGCTGGAGTGCGATCTCCTTGCCGGGATTTAGGTCTAACAGGGTTTTTGTGGGTTTTGCTGTGTTTTTTTAGGAGAACATATGGAAGGAGGCGTTCCCTGTTGGAACAGAGGTCGGTTTTTTTTCCTTGGTTTTCTCTCGTCCTCGCCTCTTGCTGTGTGACTGATTCGATGAAAATGGTTTTGCGCAGTGGGACCAGTATGATAAACTTTACGAAGTGAACTGGGATTTCTCAAATCTCGAGGTATGCGAATGTCCTTCTTTTTTGGTGGATGGTTCTTACTGTGGAGCACTGCAGCGAGCATTTGAGGAAGGAGGACAGCTCTATGGGAAGCGAGTGTATATGTTTGGCTGTACCGAACGTAAGCTACCTTTGTTTCTTCGTATTGTTTCCTGAGTTTTTGTCTCTCGTGCGTAGCTCAACTTGTACAATTCCGGGATAACCATAAGGTGATTCACATTCCAGCTGTCGTTGCGGTACGTTCTCTCTCTTTTTTTCCTTGCACTACAACTATCGGATGTGCTCCATTCACAGGTGACGTCGCCCTTCCCTCCCTCGGACAAAGTCGGGATAAAATCAGTTCAGATGGAAGGTGAAATGATCGTCCCTATGAGAGAAATGAAGATGGACTGGATGCCTTACATACCGGAAGACGTTTTGACGTATGGCGTGCATCGAGTTTGACGCGCTTGTTACTGACTTTTCCTCCTCGCGCAGGCATAGTTCTTTGGAGCGATACAAGTGCGAGATTTTTACCCTGAAGTGCACTCAAAGAAGGTATGCATGCACTGGATAACGGATGTGTTTTGCTGACGCTCGGTCTGGCTTTCAGAGTAGCTCTGAGGCATTTGAAAAAGGAGCGCATCAAGAAGTACGAGTACTGTCTGCCATGTAAGTGCGAGGATTTTATATCGTCCAAGTTTCTCACGCTACTCCACTTATAGATCTATACCGACCATGGAGGGAGGAAGAAAAGGAAGACGATACTGTTGTCTCTATTATGTTCACTATGGATGAAGGAAAACCACCGGTATCGTTTTGTGGTTATTTACAACTGGTTTTGATGCTTCTTTCCTTGTCCAGATTGTCACGCAATACGACTGGGCTTTTGACGAACTCGAGGTAATCAATCTTCAGTCCCCTAATAAATATCCACCGAGTTCTCTTCTCAGGAGTTCACAACAAACCTTATCGACGAAGAAGCACTGCCAAAAGATGAGAGGGAAAAGTTCCAGGTATGAAAACTAGCTAGCCGTTTATGCAAGACAAGGATGGAAATGGATTTTACTTGTCGTACAGGAATGCATAATGGAAAACGTCAAGGCCGAGAAGAAGAGACAGAAAGAGGTGTGTGCTGTGGCATTCTCGTCGAGGATTTCTTACTAGCTTGTTCCAGGCTCGATTGGCTCGGAAGAAAGCCATCGAAGAGATGAGCGAGGAGAAAAAGGCAGCTCTGGAGAACATGAAACTATACAAGTTCTACCCCGTGAAAACCGACGACACTCCTGATGTTGAGAACCTCAAGGTAGATCAAAGAAAAAAAATCAAACATTACGATTTCCCAGTGCTGATCTATGATCTCTCGCTGCCGCAGAGTCCTTTCATCAACAGATACTACGGCAAGGCGGACGAGGTTCACTGATCCTCGGCAATCGCATTTTTATCTTGACAAGAAACAATTAGCTACGTAGAGAGGCTGAGAGGGGCGATCTAAAAATTCTTTTTTGTTCCTTGGATCTTTTTTTCCCTCTTCCATCTCCCTCGATCGAGATGAAGCTCGGGAAAAAAAAATCTCGCTTGTACCATCTGAGAACGAGGAAAAGAACTGATGAATTGTTTGGTTTTTAAGATAGATGGAGACCCTAAATTCGAGTTTTTTTTGGAATGCCCCTTGTGTGCCGTTTGCCTGCGCCTTCTTCTTTGCTTGGATCTCGGGCGTGGGCGATCAAGAGGTGCGCTGCTCCCATCCGATCCAGGCGAGCAATCGCAATGCCGGCGTCGTCCCAGCTCGTCGAGGCGCTGGATCCCGTCCAGAAGCGTCTCATGTTTGAGGATGAGTAAGCTTTGACTCTCTTTTTTATCTTGCTCGTGTTGCAAATCTATCGGAGTGATTCTTTTGCTCTTGGTTTTGAGGCAAGGATCTGACGCTCGCTCTTGTGTTGTGTCTAAGGTGTATCCTGGTGGACGAGAAGGACAACGTCGTCGGCCATGACTCCAAGTATAACTGTAAGAGAATAGCCAGAAAAAAAAAACTGGAAGTCGTGTTTTTTTCTTCTTCTTCTTCGTGAAGGTCATTTGATGGAGAAGATCGAGACCGGGAAAATGTTGCATCGTGCATTCAGTGTGTTTTTGTTCAACTCCAAAAACGAGCTGCTGCTCCAGGTGATCGATCGAGTCTTTCTTTTCATTTCATTTCTCTCATACGATTGTTGTTGGATTTGATGCCCAGCAACGCTCGTCGACCAAGGTGACGTTCCCTCTGGTGTGGACGAACACATGTTGTAGCCACCCTCTCTATCGAGAGTCGGAGATGATTTTCGAGAACCAAATGGGTAAACAAGCTTGTTTTCTTAGCTAGTGCTCCCTCACTCACTCATACACACACACACACACACACACCCACACACGCACAGGAGTAAGAAACGCTGCGCAAAGGAAGCTTTTTGATGAGCTCGGTATCGCAGCAGCCGACTCCCCGGTGGACGCCTTCACTTTTCTGGGCCGGATCCTCTACAAGGCTCCATCGGACGGAAAGTGGGGGGAGCACGAACGTAAGTTACAAAACTTGCTCGTGATTTCTCCAGGATTTCCAGGCTCAAATCCTTGGTTTCTCGCAGTGGACTACTTGCTGTTCTTGAAGCGAGATGAGGTAGCAGTGAATCCAAACCCGGACGAAGTCGCGGCGGTGAGGTACGTGAACCAGGCGGAGCTCAAGGAGCTGGTTAGGCAGGCGGACGCGGGAGAGGGCGGCATCAAGCTCTCTCCCTGGTTTCGCCTCATCGTGGACAACTTCTTGTACAAGTGGTGGAGTTTGCTCGAGGAAGGCAAGCTGGGCGAGGCAGTGGATGAGAGCACCGTGCACTGGCTTTTATAGTGGAGCTAGACAAATTCATGGGAGACAAGCATGGAAGCATTTCAATAAACAGAGCAAGTGGATAAACATATTATAGCATTGGTTATTTTTCATAATTAGTCAGCCCTTCCCAGCCTATGGTGTGCTTCGGGCCCCTTCCGGGGGCCTCGCTGTATGACGCTGACTATTGCCAAGCAGCTGACCCTTGCTAAGCAGCTGCACTGCCCCCTAACCTCCCTTAGAAGCCTGTCCCCTTGCTCAATAACCATGTGGATATGGTCTCATAGGCCTTTGTCGATGGACTGAACAACACGAGCTGACTGAACACTAGAGCAAGTGCTAAGGAAGCCACGTTAAGGCCATCTCCACAGCCAAGAACCTTTCCACAATCCCAGCCACCCTGATCAATACTGAGGAGGCCCAAAGGCCACAAGCACTTATACATGTGACATGTGGGGAGTTTAATGAGAGTTGACTCATTTGTTAGGGTCTTGTCATGGTGCTTCAATGGCTCCCATTGCATGCCTCACTTTGTGGGCTTTCCTATGCCCCACCGGCCAAAGGAAATGGTGCTCACCCACTTTAGTGGCAAGCACATTCAGCATTTGTCCAGGTGTTACCTGATTGGCAATCCAAATGCATGTATAAGAAGTGAAGATGGGTAGCCATGGTTCAACCTCAACTGCCCAAGAGCCTCTACTCCCCACCCATCATCCTACAGGTAAAAAAGTCCTTCCTCTTTTTAGAACAACTTTTGGCTTTTTATCCCATAAAAAGTTTAAGCTTGAAAAGCTGAGTCAGCCCAAGTCCTTATTTGAGCTAAACTCTAGGTTAGAACTCTAGTAGGGAGTGTAGAGTTGGGTGTGAAACACAAAATCCCTAGGCCCTAAAGAGGAGTTGAAAGGGTGCCACGTGATAGTGGCCGAAGTAGAAGCCAAATAAGAGTAACATATTTAGATAAAAACCTCTAACTTGAAAAATTGAGAGCAGGAGTGGAACTCTCAATGAAGTGCTCAAGGAATAGACACGAAACAAGCAATAAGTGAGTCTTTAGAAAAAAGACATAAAACAACTAACACATGACATGTGGAAGTGTCGAGATGGATCTAAGATGGAGTCCGAGATGGACCCGAGACAGAGTCCAAAATGGACCTGAGACGGAGTCCAAGATGGACCCGAGATAAAATCCAAGATGGACCCAAAATGAGGTTTGAGATGGAGTATGAGATGGACTTGAGATGGAGTCCAAAATGAGTCTAAAATGGAATCTAAGATGGACTTGAGATGAAGTATGAGATGGAGCCTAAGATGAACCCAAGATGGAGCCTGAGATGAACCCAAGATAAAGCCTGAGATGGACCCGAGATGGAGTCTAAGATGGAATCCAAGATGGACCCAAGATGGAGTCCAAAATGGAGTTCGAGATGGATTTAAGATGGAGTCTGAAATTGTTTTGAGATGGAGCCTGAAATGGACTGTGATAGAGTCCAAAATAAAGTCCGAGATGGAGTCCAAGATGGAGTCCAAGATGGAGCCGACATGGAGTCCAAAATGGACTTGAGATAGAGTCCAAGATGGGGTTTGAGATGGACCTGAGATAGAGTCTAAGATGGAACCGAGACCGAGACTGAGTTTGAGTCTGAAAGCAAGACCAAGTTCGAGTTCGAGTCCAAGTCTAAGTCTAAGTCCAAATATTAATATAGGCTGTTGGGTGAAAGCCTAAAGTGATCGTCCCCCATTGGGGGGGGTGGGGGTGGGCTGCAAGGGGTTCTAAAAGTATAGTAGGGAGAGTGTGGGGGGTGAACTGTAGTGTAACTAATTTGGCTAGAAAATGCCAATTTAGCCCAGGAAAGCTATACCCATGTGTTGGGTGATGATATAACCACTGGGAAGTCCAAGGCTATAGTGAATACGGACAGACAAATAGGGTAGCTTGGTAAATTGTTCAAAAACCAACTCTAGCTCTTACGGGAGATCAAATGGTCAATTCTCTCAGTTCAAGTGTGGGTGGCACTAACTACTTGGATACCTAGCGTGGCTCATCGGAACCTCGCTTTAGCCACTTGGCTAAAGCACCCAAAGGCAGATGGTGGGAAGAGTACCCACGAGGCTTGCGTAAGGTCTTGGTGTTTTAAAATGTTATCCTAGAGTCCTAGACTAAAGAAAGGAAGAGGAACAATCCACTTCTGTAGTGACCAAGGATGTGGTCATACAACAAGGAAGTCCTAGAGGTCCTTGGGATAGTGGTTAGGCTTATGAGCCTTGACCCAGTGGCAATATTGGCGAATATAGCCATGGATAGAAAGGGATTTGGTAGGGACTGAGAAAGGGATATTGGGGAAGGTTATTCCCCATATCTACGGGCATCCTAAGGATGCTAAAGAGTGAATCTAGGATGATCACTCATGGACGGATGGCCCAGTCTTTGAGAGACAGGACTGTGATACAAGTGATGTTGGACCACTAATATGACAAAGGTAAACAGGTTTGGCTTTAGCATAACAAGTTGATATGTCGATAGTACCTTTGGGTGTTAATCATGGGATTGGACATATGGAGCACTTGGACCAAATGCAAATGTTGAGTGGCATAGATGCTATTTTTAGGGCTAACAAGTCCCCTAGTCCGGAATAGTACTTATGAAGGTTGGGAGTGAGACTCCTCCATGTGGTCAAAGTTGTGGTTAAGTGACTAAAGTAGAATGGAAAAATTAGTCACTTATAATTTAGTATCAGAGTTGTTCCCTAGTCTGACTCTTATTGGTGGTCAAATATGTCAACACTTGTCTTGGCATTGAAAGGTCTCAGAAGTGGGCCTGCCCTCAACAAGTAGCATGTCGAAAGGGCATGACTCTCCACCTTAATTCATAAATGAACATGTTGACAATGTAGTGAATAAAAAAGGGCTAATAATGAAACGACTTTAGGATCTTGGGAACAGTATAAAGTTTTCCTTAGAAAGTTGAGGATGTGATCCAAATGAGCATTTGACTTAGTAAATTGACTAATGTAACTATGGTAAACAACTATAGTTGAGATCACAGGAAAGATAATGACTCCAAAACAATAAAGGAGTTACAAAATTATCCTCATATAGTTAAAGCTCATGCTCATGTGGAGCTTGTGGCCAACCACACCTCAAGCAAACAAGTGCTTTGGGCTTTCACCCCATGTGTCCATATCCAAGCTTGTACCTAATTCCAAGATAAAGCCTATATAATGCCAATGGTGTGGAGCTAAGCACCCAAGATCTAACCTCAAATACCCAACACTCCATCCCCTATTATCCTTTTAGAACTCATAACTAGCAATGCCTAAGAAGATAAGTGCTTTGGGCCTTCATCCTATATATCCATATTGAACTTGAACCAAAGTCTGAGATAGAGCTCAAGTTTGAGTTTGGTATAGTGCATGAGATGAGGAGCTTAGAAGCCGATGCCTGTATCTTGAATGTAACTATAGGTATTGAAAGTTACCTATTAATGAGTCCTTTCAAATAATTTTTTCTTTATTGCTAAGATAGTAGGAGATCAATATTGTTGGTTCCCTTTTCAATTGTTCAAGTGTTAGTAAATTGGGTTTAGCATTTGTACTTAGTTAAATAAACATAAAGTAGGAATTCTTATATATTTCTTGTAGAGTATATTCGGCTTAACTTTAAGTTCTCTTTTGCTCAAAAACTCCCACAATATTAAGTTTGGTCCCTCAATACTCATAAGATGATTATCGTGTCCACTAAGACATTCTTGCTATCATGTCCCATGTGTTGGTTT